TCCCATATCAACCAGAATTTTCAACACAGGAAGAAAAGAAAAGGATGTGCATAATCTCCAGACTGCCATCTACCCATATTTCAAGTTTGGCATTAAAATATTTTCACTACTTTTTGAGTTATCACTGGATCCAGGTTATGTGTAGAATTTGCCATATTTTCAGGCTATTTGTTACCATAGCAACCAGAATTTTCAACATAGGAAGAAAAGAAAAGGATGTGCATAATTTCCATACTGCCATCTATCCATATTTCAAGTTTCATAAAAATATTTTCAGTACTTTTTTGGTTAACACTGGATCCAGATTATGTGTAAAATTTGCCATATTTTCAGTCTATTTGTTGCCATAGCAACCAGAATTTTCAACATAGGAAGAAAAGAAAAAGACGTGCATAATCTCCATACTGCCATCTATCCATATATCAAGTTTCACAAAAATATTTTCAGTACTTTTTGCGTTATTGCGGGATCCAGTTTTGTGGATGGGCTGACGGACGGACAGACGGACGGACGGAGGGTAAACCTAAAGTCCCCTCCGGTAAACCGGTAGGGGACTAACAAGCACACAGAAAAGTTTCATGTAAAATATGACATCATCTTAATCATAAACTTTCTACCCTGTTACTAACAAAGTACAAGAAATCTCTGCATATTTTGGGAAGTTTTAGGGATTCTGTTTTCTCTATTTCTGGTAAATTCTGTCTAGTATGAAGGCAATTTCCATTGACATAATTTATTTGTTTTGCTGGATTTATAGGGACTCCACTGAGGTTTTTTGGCATGATGGGACTGAAAATATTTTTTCCAGATAAATGTACCATTTGATGAAGGTTTAGACCACTAATCTTTGTGAAAAATTTCAGATCATTCGCGCACTTCTTTTTAATATCCAGAATAATTATTCAAATTGTAAAAAAATTACCCAAAATGAAAAGCGCTTAAACGTTTTTCACTCAAATTAGGTTCAGAAAAGCATAAAAATACAATTTTCAATGTACACGCATTTCAAAGTATATTTCTTAACTATCTTTGCATATATTTCTGTTTAAAGAGCCTCAACTCATTTATGTAAGAAATTTGAATGTTATGTTTTTAGGCTTTTAAACCTCAGTGGAGTCCCCTTAAAGTGAAACTGTGATTCTAGCTTTACTGGTAGAGGAAAACCATGTATGACTCACCAAAGGACATAATCCTTGTCCAACAAATCATCAAAATCTATCAAGTGATATTTTTCTGTTTTTAGGTCTTGTAGCCATTTTGTTTGGCAAACCAAAATATTTGAGTGTTTGTTTTTTTCATTTAGTGGCCTTTAAAAAGGTGCCAATCAAATCAATATGAGCAAATTTGATAAAAGACTACCTATGAATGATACAGAAAAAGTTAGGTGATCATCTTTCAATTATTCCAGTAGAAGGTATTAAAAGGTTTTACTATTTTAGCTCTAGAGGCAACTAAAAGGGGCCAATCAAATAAATATCAGCAAATTTGATAAAGACTACATACAAAGTTTAGTGATCATCCATCAATTATTTCAGTAGAGGACGGTTGACCCCTAGAAGGGGCCAAATGAAATGATATGAGCAAATTGAAGTGTGACTGTCACAAGGGTGCTACAGACCAAATCTGAAGTAAATTTGCTGGCAGTTTCAGAGAAGCTGAATGATGACGCATGACAACGGACTACGGAGCATACCCCTTTGATACTAATAGCTCATCTTGAACCTTCGGTGCTATAGTGAGCTTACAAAAAAAACCTTACTGCATGGATGACATCAAAGAGAAAGTATTGTTACTTATTGTTTTTCAAGTCACACAAGTATCCAAATGTACTCTCGGATAAATAACGGTAGATATACAAATGACAAAGAAGTGATTCCCATATATTGTCACTTTACTACTTTGTAGCTTCTGTGCAGCTGGCAACACAAAAATTGTGAACAGGCCAAAATACCTTTTTATTTAAGGCCAAAACTCAGCCAAAAATCTTTCAACCTGAAAACAACTTTAAAATGTGCTAAAGTTAATGAGCTTTCAAGCAATCCTGTGAAGTTTCTTTGAAATTGGTTTAGATGAAATAAGAAGAGTAGTCTAGAAAAATGTATTAAACATGTTACTGATTAGTTTTGATGAGACTGCACCAGTTGTTTTAAAAGTGTTGTACAGATAAGTTTGGTGACACATCCGATATATGAAAGAAATTCAAATTTTATGTCTTTGGACCTCCTTTGAAGTTGCTTAAAGGTGGAAAGGTTATATTAAGGTGTTTGTAATTTTTGATATAGGAGCCATCTTGCTCTACGGAACTGAACCATATGTGCAATTTGAATAGAAATCAGACCAAATGTGGCAAAATGAATAGTTGTTTTGGCTTGTAGCTGTACATACCATATACATTCGGCAACATATGAATTTACAGTAAAGAAAAGGCTGTATCTAGGGTAAAACAAACTTACTTCTATGACTCAATTCATGTTCTTTAAGTCTCCGACCTGTTTTGGCAGAATAAGGGCATTCAGAACACTGGTATTTTCTCTCATTCATGTGTGTAAGTTTTATATGTCTTTTTAATCCACTCTTTGATACCAGGAATACACCACATACCTGACATTTATGTGAAACCTTGCAAGAACTTTGATGATCTTTAAAGTCTTCCAAAGTTAAGTCACTGTAACCTGTAATAGAAATACATTACTTAACGTTTATGAATAACATGTATTTGTTTTCAGTGACAAAACATTTATCAACAAGAGCCAAGGTCAAGGTCATATTTAAATTAATCATCATGTTAGTTTTGTCATAAATGCTCTTTTGTCTAAGAATGAATCAAATCTATATATAAATTTCAAATATATGACAATTTAAGCAAATTCCAATAATTTGACATTGACAGTCAATGCCAAATAAAGGTAATGGTATATCAGAATAATTTAACATCTTTGTCATATGTATTCTTTTGTTGAAGTATGCATACAATCTGTAAATAAACAACAAAATCATTTCAATTAAAGCAATTCAATAACTTGACCTTGACAGATCAATGTCAAAAAAGGTCAAGGTCATCTCAGAATATTTCAACATGTCAGTTTTGTATATTCTTTTGTTCCAGTCAGAATCAAATCTATAGAGTTTACATTACAGTCAAATTGGCCTTGCTCTTTCCTAGTTACAAGGAAACTCGGGACTTGATTCTACAATAAAATTAAGCAACCAGCTTTTTTGCCTGCTCTATAACAAAAAGACGCCACCCAGGTTTCAGACAATGATCATAAATGTAATAAGAAGTATATATGATAATCTATAAACTATTTTTCAGATTGTCGTTTGTTAGTTCTAAGTATGATGTTTTACTTTGTGTTATTTTGATGGTGTTCAGTTCATCATTTTGTGATACCAGCATTACCCTCTACCACTGCATTAACTGAAAATTTCACATCTTAAGCTGACTATGGTAAAATATTGAATTTAGTATTATCAGCAGATGCAAGAATCTAAGTTTTAAACATGAAGAATGGAAAGTAACAGAAAAAAGGTTAAATTTAATTTGCAATTGATCTTCAAGGTCATGTACCATAAAAAGTTTAAATTTCATTTAAAAGAATCTTCAGGTCTCAAAAAGAGAAATATACATTTACCAGCGTCACAATACAAATGTGCTTGACAAGGTCATTCTACTACTATTTGTAACAAACTTTTCATCACAGAACCTACATTTAAACCAAGTGTTGCCATGTTCTTTCCCAATATGTGACCATCTAGCGTCCAATGAACAATTTTGACTCCACAACTATAATTTGATCGATATTTATCTTAGGTTTCAAACAGAGAAAATAAAAATTACCCATTTTACAGTTGAAGCAATACTTGACAAGGTCAGTATGTACTGTTCTATAATGCTTCTTTCTAGTATCATTTGTAGCAAACTTCTCATCACAGAACCTACATTGAAACTGAGGGTTGCCGTGCTTCTTTCCAATATGTGACAATCTAGCTTCTGATGTGTACAGAATTATTCCACATATATCACACATATACTGGTTTTTTCCTGATACATGTCCAACAGAAAACTTATGCCTTAATAACACTAATTCAGAGTAACCCACATAAGAACATTTGTCACATTCCAGGACCTTATTCACATGTTTTTCAATATGTGCCTCAAAATAATCTTTTGCAGTAGATTTGAAATTGCCACATAATAAACATTTGAATAATTCTTCTGTTATATCAACATTACGATCTTTTCTTGCAAATGATTTGACAGTTTCTTTACTGTACTTATCCTGATGCTCTTCTAGTTGAATGTGAACCCATGGCTTTTTTTCCAAACGCTGATCGCTTTTATTGTCTTTTTTTGTCTTTTCTTTCTTTTGAATTTCATATTTTGCATTATCCCCTTGCTTTCTTCTTTTCTTACAATTTTTGGCAATTGAATTACCAATTTTTCTTTTCCTCTTTTCCATATCTTTATTGGAAATTTTACTATCAGTCAAGCAATCACCTTCAATTCCCAGTATGTAACTTTCATCTTCATCTGTTTCAGATCTGTCATCACATTCATTAATATTTTCAACTTTGTCAATTTTATCAGGAAAAAAATCAGGATCTTCTGCTTTCCTTTTATCAATTCTTTTAGTTTTACAATCATTTTTAAAATCCTCGCCTTCTGTCACTCCTATGTCCTTGGTAGAAATAGTCTTTCTTCCTACATATGTCTGTTTGTCCTCTATTGTAATCACATTTGTAGATACATTATCTTTACTGTTTTTCGCATGGTCATCTATCCACTCCAAGCTTGCATAATCAGGCCTGTAACCCCGTGACTGAACTCTTGAGCTCCTTCTTCTGTTTCCTAATTCGGCATTATCTTCAGTAGGGCCTTCAGTTATCTTGATCATTTTCTTTTCACCTTCAAGATAATTCATTATATCTTCAATGTCTGATTCCTCACTAACGCTTTCTTCTCCCTCACTAACACATTCTTCTTCCTCACTAACATATTCTTCTTCCTCACTAACACATTCTTCTTCCTCACTAACACATTCCTCTTTCACACTTTGACATGCTGTTGACACTTCTCTGCATGGTTCACTAAAAAAAGATATACGCCAAGAGTTTTACACAAAATTTACAAAGGAATTCGGAATTTCATCAACATTTATACCTATAACATTTCTTGCAAATACGAATTTACAGAAGCAGCTTCAACAGTATTAACTTTCATTTGGTTTAATGCTGCAGCACCATAATGATACTGTCATATGGCAACTTTCCAGCTATACTGGTAAAAAAAGACCTCAGGTGCCCCCTATACATGTACATTATTTCAGTCACAAACGGGCACCTAAGTAGAACCACTGATGTTCCATAAGCTAGCTGGATAGTTTCCTCACTTGAAGAATCCTAGAAGCTTTTTAGCATATTTCAATAAATACACGTTCTTTTATTTGTAGTTAAAACACATTAAGTAATATCATTATCTTAATAAGAGCATGGATAATGTAACAGGAAAATTTTATTTGAAAAATACAGGTGAAATAGTTATATGTCTTGAATATTGAGCAAAGAATTTTGAATGTTCAAAAAGGGATATGATTCATTCAAAATCCATACCAGAATTTTGAGTCTTGTAAAAAGCGTTCTGTTTACTATTGTTGGGAAAACATGAATAAAGTTAAAAAAACTATAATTCAGTAAAATTCAATTATAATTTCAAATAATATTTGAAGTTTCAAGCAAATATCTTTATTGGTTGATGAGATATGATGTTGTACAAGAAGTTGCATGAAAAACTTAAATCAATACCATTTATGATGCCCATGCCAGGAATGTAGAGGATAACCTAACATTTCTTCAAAAATCGAAGACCTTTAAAGTGCAGTCTTGTTCTGACCCTATGTTGTTTGCTTCACAAGTTCATTTTTGGATATAATATTCCTTAATAATTACATGACAAGTGAAATTAAACAAACTGTTCATAACAGTAACAATCATTCCATACCTGTTAATCTTGTCTGACTGATCTGGCATTATTTCTTGCTTCACTAGTGCCTCATTTAAAGTGTCAGGAATCTCATTCATAGAAGCATCTTCAACAACCAACTTATTCCTGAAGGCCTCAGTTACAGCAGCCTCATTCACAGGGGCAGGATTCTCACGAGCATAAGCATGTTCAACAAGGACTTTATTCTTAAATGCCTCAGTCACAAGAGCCTTATTCACAGAAACATCTTTAACAAGATACTTATTCCTGAAGGTGTTATTCACAGAAGCGCCATTTACAGGGGCATCTTCAATAATATAGTTGCATGTCTTTCTACAGTCCTCGGTTACAGAAGCCTTATCCACAGATGCATCTTTCACAACGTTCTTATTCCTGTCGGTCTCAGTAACAGGAGTCTCATTCCCAGAAGCACCTTCCACACGGATATTATTGCTGGAGGTGTTACTTACAGAAGCGTCATTCACAGGGGCATTTTCCACTAAATACTTACATGTACTCCTGAGGGCCTCAGTCATGGGAGCCTTATTATTCATAGACAAAGAGGTCTCATTAACAAAAGCCTCATCAACAGGAGCACTTTCAACATGATTTTTATGCATCGAAATCTCATTCACAGGTGCTTCAGCAACATCTGCTTCATTCTTCACAGCATCCATCACTTGGGTCTCATTTATGGGAGCCTGGTGAATCGCTTTAAAGGCATCACAAAGATTCTGTATGTATTCAGCTCTGTCATGCCTGAAGATTGTATTATAAATTGATAGTAAAATGTAAAAAATCAAATTTCTTCATGTAACTATGTAGTTAACAATTTTTTTCGTCACCAAGGCCACTTTTGAATCAGTACTTAGTGATACACCTGTACACGAAAACATAATTCAAGATTTTGAAGCACAGTACAGAGCGGATGGGTTCTGGGGCAAGGTGACTCTAGCCGTTAAATCAGAAGCAATGGAATGTTTATTATATTGATGCACTTTATAAAATACATGCTTAAATTGTTCAAATGTGACAGTTATTCTTATTTTAAAATTCTAATTACTAGTATTATTGAATATTTTTAAAAAAAACTGTTAGCAAGTTTCTGAATAATCAGTCTGCAAACAATTTCAAAAAGGCAAAATGGGAATAACAAAGATATTTTGCCAAAAAGAATGTTCCAGAATTGCATACAATTTTTAAACATTATCATGAACACAATGTTTTTCAGTAATCTGCTAACATTCAAAAATTAAACATAAGTTGTTTTGATACCATGCATTCATCAGCACATTTGCAAATTGACTGTTAGAATTAACTTGGAGTGAACATTTCATTTTTCTCCAGCGCGTCCATACATCAGTTTGAAGTGTAATTATCCTATAACTCTCAAGTTTTGGTATGTTTCTTCTCTTCCAATATCTGGAAATATGACCACCATACCTAATATGTTGATCAAGCTTATGTAAGCTGCAAAGAAAAAAATACATTTTTTTAGTATTTTGCTTTAAAATACTGTCTATTATAGAACCCAGCAAATACAAAAGTAGTACAGTATGAGACAGCATTTATTTCAGCCATGACATGGGTCCCAACTCCTTTAAAACCTCTCACAGATTTGGCAGACCTTCTACCACATGGCACATCACTATATATTAAACACTTGACTTCACAGCAAGGACAAGTGAAGCACCTTTCATTGCTATTAATATATATAAACTTCCTCCAGTTTGTCAAGTTAATCCTCAGATTTAGATTCTAAGGGACATAATTATATTTTATTTCACTCATTTCATATTTTTTTTCTCCTAGCTCTATGATGGGTACCATTGTTAGAGATATAATAAACTGATGAAGTTTTTTCTCCCCCTTTAAGTAAACATTCTGTTATTATCCAAAAATTAAGGGAATGGTCACTTCCCCTATCTGTGAAAAATGTCTTGATTAAAAACATGAAAGCCCAATTAGCTGCAGGCCTACCTTTTGATCAAAAGCCTAGCAAGGTCCTCATCTGATTTACAATATTTCTTAGATTTGATTTTCATCCACCTCCCTGTCATTGACCCTAGATTCACAAATTTTCTTTGCACTTTTGGCATAAAAAGACTTTTTCCTTGTCCTGGATATTTACCATCATCTTCTGAAGACTGGACAGATACCATCTGTGGGAAATAAAATATATCTAATTAATTGCAAATTACAGCAATATCCAGTTATCACCGATAACATTTGTGCAAAGATAATCTACAATCTAAAACAATTGTCTATCTTAGCTCTAGGCATAGCAGCTTCTAAGAAGATATTTAAAGATTTCATTATTTTTTAAACTTGAATTTTGGGAAAGGAAGACTATGTAAAATAAGTGACCCCAGGGGTGGGGCAAATCGACCACAAGGGGCATGACTTATATTAGTTCTAGCTTCCATAACTTTATATGTCACTTTTATTTTGAAGTTGTGCGACAGAACAGGTCTAGCAGTACTATAAAACCTGTTCGCTGAAGTATCTTTAGCTAGACTTATACGTTTTCAGTAGTGCAAGCATCAGAGCATGTCTACGTCACCACATTATTGTGAGATAGAATTAAGATAGATGTTTGTCAATAATAAAAGTTACAGAGAGTTGAGATGCGCAGACAAGAACTCATATACACGCATATTTTGTGACTTAATATCAAGTTATTGTGGTTTCTATATATACAGTTCTCAAAATATGCAAAGGGGTCCGACACACTTGGGTGTGTTCATATATAGTGTAATTAAGTTACACAAGCAATTTGACAAAAAAATATATGGACAAATATGTCTCTATATAAAATATTTGTCCATATATTTTTTGTCAAATTGCTTGTGTAAGTTAACTTAATTACACTATATATGAACACACCCAAGTGTGTCGGACCCCTTTGAAAATATGCGGTGTCACTGTGGTTTCGTTGATTATTGGCATTTCCATTCATTCCAGGTTTTATGATGAAAAACGAGTTATATACATACCACTTTATCCATCCAAGTTTACAGTTATTGATATAGACCTTGCTTTTCATGTATTAGAAATTAATATCGTCAAAAAATGGTTCTATACATAAAAATTCGAACTTGATTTCATTACTGGCAAATGGCGTCACAATTAATAAGGGGAGTAACTCAGATTGGTATGATTATGTGAGTGTTCATTGTGAATTTCCCTGGATATTTTTCATTATTATTTCTTAATTTTTATACAGTAGTGCTCATTGATTACTATTATTTATATACACACATGTGTACAAGTAAAATGGTTTCCTGCGGTGAACATTTTAATGATATAAAGATATTTCATTTAACTATTTTCAATATGATTTTTTTTTTTTTTGGGGGGGGGGGGGGATAAAAAAAAAACGTTTGTATCAGAAATATAGTTGACAATAATCGATCAATATAGAAGAAGGTCTTTGAAAATTGGTGACCGTTGAAGACCGGAGAAGTTAGAACATGAAACAATTAAATCTTTTTAAGAAAATGATTAAATAGGCCTTCAAATTTATGAATAATTCCGAGCAAAAAATAAATAAAGTAAACACACAAGTTTACGCAGAAAATATCTCTATTTATTATGGCAGATGCCACTACGAATATTTTAATTTTGTAGATTTTCAGTATAAACAATTTATGTTTGTAAAATTTGAGATAGATATTAAAGAAACATTGATAATTTTCAAACACATAAGTCACGTTTTTCCACCTTAAACGGTAAAATAATTATAGAAAATTAGAAATATCACGTAATAGTTTTTTTTTGTTCCCAAATAGGTATAATTCGGATTAATTCCCTACAGATAAATCCGTAACGTACCGGCAAACGGTATTTAGCTGGGTTTTCGAAAAGGTCAATTAACCAATCATATACGGTTTACAGATCACATGCTCCTCCATGTACCGAAACAGGTCACGTGCTCCTCCATGCCTCAAAAGTTAAACGCGTACCAATACCCTGCGGTCTCCAGACCGCAGGGAATAATCCACAAAAAATTCAGAGACATTTTCCAAGCTAGAAAGATATGAATAAAATATTCATATTGATATTTCTTGGCCAACCATCACGTCTTTAATGTTTCACAAAAGTCAAGAGGCTATATAGTGTTTGCTGCAACATTTGCATATTTTGATGCTGAATACCTTGAACAAACAATCTCCAATCTCAGTCTGACGGTTCAAACTTTAAGAAAGTTTAACATAAATATTTAGCAAGAGATAACCATAAAATGTTTTAATTTCCCTGTAGATCTACTTGCTCACTAAAGCCATGGAACGCCGTAGCATAGTTTTATATTAAACACGAGTCACTTTCCTCCACAAAATAGTATAATTTTATATTTTTCCTTTGTAGGAGACTCTATTTTGGTAAAAATATATATTTTTGTGTGTAAAGCTGATTACTAACGTTTACTTTTTGCATTTCTCAAAATCTTATTGACGATGTCTATGATAGGTGTATAACAGTTTGCAAATACAAAATGTACTACAAAAGTCAAATTAAATATTTCAAATGAGAACATTTACATAAAAGCATTAATATTTTTATTGATTGATACTGTTATTTCACCAATTGCCTCTTATAGTTTGCAAAATGATACGATGAAGTCATGGTATGATATTTACTATTTTTATGATAATACTTGCCATACTTGATAAAATTAATTTCATATTACTATGGCATGCAGTGATAATTTATAATTTTTTACGATGACATACATTTATGACGATTTATATATAATTTTACTGCCACTGATTATTTTGGAAAAAAAACAAAACCAAAAAACACTTGTATTATATGTTTGTATATATGTACTCACAGGCATTTGCCTTTTGTTCAATACAATTATTCATATGTTAACTACTTGCTATGTACATTGCTTTACTCTTTACATTTAGAGGGAATAGATTGCGTGTGTAAGTCAAGTTACAACTGGTACATTATTTAAGGAATATTATGACATCTGTGCGGAACCACCAGCATAAACTAGTGGTTATTTTTTTTAATAATATCTGTCATATTTTGCGGTTCGGATCGGAATATCCGTCCCGAAGTGACCCGCCCATTGGGCGGTAACGAGGCCTGCCGAGGGACGAATATTCCGATCCGAACCGCAAACATATGTCAGATATTCTTTCTTGCATATTCTACCATATTCCATTATATTTCAAATTCTTTATATTTATTTTCAATGAAAATTTATATCATTTCAACCGTAACTACTTTCATTCAACAGCGTATGAATTACAAAATTATTCATAACGGTAAAATGACGTCATCTTTATCGTGCCATTGTACAGCACGCGACCCATCTGGAACCCCCCATGCCAGATGAAATTTCCGGCATGGGTAAAACTAACGGAAACGCCAGTCCGATGTGCAAGAAAGCATCATTCTGCATTAGAAAGTCATCAAATTGTGTACAGCTCTCCTCTGGTAGAGGTAACATCATAAATTATTATGAAGACTGTTTGATCCATCATGTTCATGATGTTGCAGCCTGGCTCACCGCAAAATTGACTGTAACATGGTCATTAATAAATGTATTATCTTCATACTTTGACAAGACCTTCTGAAAGATTGGAGTGACCTTGGCCATTTAAGGACCTGGACTGTCAAGGTCAAATTACTGTATTTTGTACAAAATTGTCATAATTTCCATGCAGGGATTTGATTTCAACTTTGATAAAACAAGACTTTCTACCAAACAAACGATATTGAATAATTCAGATATGACCTTGACCTTTAATTGACCTTGAACAGCTCTATACAATGAAAATCACAACACAAGTTTCTAGACAACAAGCAGCTTTCATGTAATGGGATAACAAAGAAAGTGAATAATAAAAAACTAACAAGGGATAGAAATTTAAGTAACAACAGAAAACAAGAGCCACCGCCGGGCGGGGGCAACGCTCGACTTTTTACTTTTTCTAAACGCAAACATAGAAAGGTTTGAACATATATTAACGTTTCCTTTTTATAAATTTAGTTTGTCTGTCTTGTCACATTAGTTTTCTTTATATATTTTGTATATATATGAATAGAAACATTAAGCATATTTCTAAAAATAGCAACAGTACGCAATTTCTTAAAATAGCAACATGACGCAATTTCTCAATATAGAAAAAATGACGCAATTTTCTAAAAATACAAAAAATGACATAATTTCTAAAAATAAAAAGTGATGCAATTTCTAAAAATAGCAACAATGATGCAATTTCTAAAAATAGAAAAATTGACGCAATTTCTAAAAATAGAAAAAATGAAGCAATTTCTAAAAAAGAAAAAAATGACGCAATTTCTAGATATACTAAAATAGAAATTATGACGCAATATCTAAAAATAGAAATTATGACGCAATTTCTAAAAGTAGAAAAAATGACGCAATTTCTAAAAATAGCACCAATGACGCAATTTCTAAAAAATAGAAATTATGACGCAATTTCTAAAAATAGAAATTATGACGCAATTTCTAAAAAATGACGCAATTTCTAAAAATAGCACCAATGACGCAATTTCTAAAAAATAGAAAAAATGACGCAATTTCTAAAAATAGAAATTATGACGCAATTTCTAAAAAATAGAAAAAATGACGCAATTTCTAAAAATAGCACCAATGACGCAATTTCTAAAAAATAGAAAAAATGACGCAATTTCTAAAAATAGCACCAATGACGCAATTTCTAAAAATAGAAATTATGACGCAATTTCTAAAAATAGAAAAAATGACACAATTTCTAAAAATAGAAAAAATGACGCAATTTCTAAAATAGAAATTATGACGCAATTTCTAAAAATAGAAATTATGACGCAATTTCTAAAAATAGAAAAAATGACACAATCTCTAAAATTAGAAACAATGACGCATTTTCTAAAAATAGCAACAATGACGCAAATTCTAAAAATAGCACCAATGATGCAATTTTGTAAAAACAGAAATTATGACGCAATTTCTAAAAAATAGCAAAAATGATGCAATCTCTAAAAATACTAAAAAATAGAAATTATGACGCAATTTCTAAAAATAGAAAAAATGACGCAATATCTAAAAATAGCACCAATGACGCAATTTCTAAAAATAGAAATTACGACGCAATTTATAAAAATAGAAATTATGACACAGTTTCTAAAAATAGCACCAATGATGCAATTTCTAAAAATAGAAATTATGACGCAATTTCTAAAAATAGAAAAAATGATGCAATCTCTAAAAATACTAAAAATAGAAATTATGACGCAATTTCTAAAAATAGAAAAAATGACGCAATATCTAAAAATAGCACCAATGACGCAATTTCTAAAAATAGAAATTATGACACAATTTCTAAAAATAGAAAAATGATGCAATCTCTAAAAATACTAAAAATAGAAATTATGACGCAATATCTAAAAATAGAAAAAAATGATGCAATTTCTAAAAATAGAAATTATGATGCAATTTCTAAAAATAGAAAAAATGATGCAATCTCTAAAAATAGAAACAATGACGCATTTCTATAAAAAAAACCCAAAAAACAATGACCCAATTTCTCTAAATAGAAACAATGACGCAATTCTATAAATAGAAACAATGACGCAATTCTATAAATAGAAACAATGACACAATTTTAGTTATTGTTGTTGTTGTTGTAAATATATATATATAGACACACACACACCAATAAATATTTAAATATGGTCATTTACTGCACAAATCTGAGAAAATTCAGTAATTTAACCTTCAAGGTCAAGGTCATTTAAGAGCCCAAGCAAAGTTGGGTTTGATAAACAACAAGGTCTGGTCCTTAAGAATGTTCTCTAATAATATGAAGTTGATCCCTTCAATAATAGCAAAGTTACAGTCAGTGACCGCCAAAACAATGAAAATTTCAAATAATTTGACCTTCAAAGACAATGTCATTAATGTGTGAAGGTCAAGGTCTTCCGGTATATCTTTAACAGTAATCTTTGAAGATTATTATGTTCAAGTTTCAGGACAATCCATTCAAAAATAACAAACTTACAGCCAATAAAAGCCAAAAAAATGAAAATTTCAATAATTTGACTTCAAAGTCAAGGTCATTTATGAGTGAAGGTCAAGGTCTGGCTGGTTATTTTTAAGGGATATCCTTAAAGATTATTATGTTCAAGTTTGAAGACAATCCATTCAAAAATAACAAAGTTACAGCCAATAACAGCATGAACAAGCAAAAATTGGACTTTTAACCTTGAAGGTCAAGGTCATTTATGGATGAAGGTCAAGGTTAGTGTGGTCTACTGAAAGGTCTTGTCCCAAGGGTTGTTGTGGCCAAGTATGAAGACAATACACAAAGAAATAAAAAAGTTATGATCCAGGTACAAGTTTTCGGACGGCAACGGCAACGGCAATGGCAACGCCGACCTGACTGTAGCAATACCTCTATTTTTTTTTCAAAAAAAAAAGTCGAGCTAAAAATGATTTTTTTTTATCTTTTATTTTACATGAAAATATTTCTGTACATTTTCACATGGAGCTGTATTATTTATATTGTATGTATATCTCTGATCTTAAAACATCATGCTCAATAATCACCTTGTCATTCTGGCAAACATATTATCCCTAATTTATGTTCAAAACTTATTCATCAAGAAGCCTGTTGTACAAACTAAACACAAGTATGAACATAAACTATCGTCGCGTTTTTTGATTGAATTTCAGGATGATCTTTTTTGTCATGCATTTTTAAAGCTTTTTGGTTACGAAAAACAATATCACAATGTGAACATGCCACTGTGTTTTCCATTCCATGAACTTTGGCGTGTTCCTTTAGCTGAACATTCCATGCAGCTGCAAACTTGCATTGTGAACACTTATATGGCTTCTCCCCAGTATGTGTTCTCATGTGAGACTTTAGCTGGTATCTTTGAACACATGAAAATGTACATTTGTCACAAAAAAATTGATGATCACCTGCAAATAAATGAACAAATCAATAATGTGAACTTAAAATCACAAAATCATTACTGTTAAAGGGACTCCAGTGTGGTATTTTGACTAATGACTTGCATACAAAATTCCAAATCTTTTGCTCACTTTGTATTTCTGGAATAATCATTGTGACCGATATTAGTGGTACAAGAGTTGTCAGGACAAACTTAAATAAAGGCAATATGCACCATCAAACTTAATACTGATCATTCCTGCAAAGTTTGAGTAGTTTTTGAGGAGTAGTCTGGCCAAGTACATGTATGTGACCCTGCTGATTTATGGAAGAAATTCAAATTTTATGTTTTCAGGCTTTTGGACTTCCTTTGGACAGAGACATAGATAACATCTATGTCTCTGCTTTGGAGTTCCTTAAAGGTGGAGTGGTCATATTAAGGTTGTTTCTATTTTTAGGTCTAGGAGCCATCTTGTTTTGCAGACCAGAATTATGTGTGCAATTTGTATAGAAAACAGACTTTATAGGATGGCAAAATGAAAAATTGTTTTAACTTGCAGCAGTACACACCAAATACATTTGGCAAAATGTCATTAAAGTAAAGAAAAGCTGCAGGGTAAAATTAACTTACTTCTATGACTCAATTCATGTTGTCTAAGGCTTTTAGCCATTTTGGCAGAATAAGGGCATGTAGAACACTGGTATTTTCTCTCATTCATGTGTGTAAGTTTTATATGTCTGTTTAATCCACTCTTTGATGCCAGGAATACACCACAAACCTGGCATTGACGTGAAACCTTGCAAGAACTTTGGTGATCTTTAAATTCTTCCAAACTTAAGTGTCTGTAATCTGTAAAAGCAGATCAGTGCTATAAGTTAGTTAATAACATGAATATATATGTTTGCCTTGATAATACATGTATTAACAAGAGCCAAGGTTAAAACCACATTTGAATTAATCATCATATTAGTTTTGTCATAAATGCTCTTCTGTCAGAGAATAAATCAAATCCATAAATAAATAACAAAGTTATGACAAGTGAATTTCAATAATATGACCTTGGCAATAAAGGTCAAGGTTATATCAGAATAATTCAACATGTCAATTTTGTCATATGTGTTCTTTTGTCCATGTCAGTATCAAAGCTGTAAATAAATAACAATGTTATGACAATTTAAGCAAATTTCAATAATTTGACCTTGATGGTCCAAGTCAAATAACGACCAATGTCATATTTGAATGTTTCAACTAACAGGTTTTGTCATAATTGTTCTTTTGTCAAATCCATAGACAAAAACAAGGTAATGGCCAATTGTAGCAAAATTCACTAATTTCACCTAGTTCAACTAGAACTGCAACTATCATGGCGTGAATACCCCCGCATACCACTTTGTCAGAATCAACAGTGGCCATTTAAAGCTCAAGGACAACTTCCCTGCCAAATCTGAGGTTACTAAGCCAGTGCATTGCTAAGTTATGTATTCTACGTGCTTCAAATGTGAAAATGTCAAAAACAATACACTGCGGACAGGCATTCTTAAGCAATTGAGGGGAAAATATTTTTTTTGTCAAGGTCCCTGTGACCTTGACCTTTTACCCAGTGACCTCAAAATCAATAGGGGTCACCTTATGGTCATGATCAACATCCATGCCAAATACGAAGACTGTGGGTCAAAGGAATCTTAAGATAATGGGTGGACAATCTTTTTTAGTCAAGGCCCCTGTGACCTTGACCTTTGACCCAGTGACCTAAAAATCAATAGCGGTCACCTATTAATCATGACTAACCTCCATGCCAAATATGAAGACTGTGGGTCAAAGGAATCATACGTTATTGGGCAGACAAACTTTTTGAAGTCAAAGTCCCTGTGACCTTGACCTTTGACCTGGTGACCTCAAAGTCAATAGGGGTCATCTACTAATCATGACTAACCTCCATGCCAAACATGAAGACTGTGGGTCAAAGGAATCTTAAGTTATTGGGCGGACAAGCTTTTTGAAGTCAAGGCCCCTGTGATCTTGACCTTTGACCTGGTGACCTCAAAATCAATAGGGGTCATCTACTAATCATGACTAACCTCCATGCCAAATATGAAGACTGTAGGTCAAAGGAATCTTAAGTTATTGGGCGGACAAGCTTTTTGAAGTCAAGGCCCCTGTGACCTTGACCTTTGACCTGGTGACCTCAAAATCAATAGGGGTCATCTACTAATCATGACTAACCTCCATGCCAAATATGAAGACTGTAGGTCAAAGGAATCTTAAGTTATTGGGCGGACAAGCTTTTTGAAGTCAAGGTCCCTGTGACCTTGACCTTTGACCTGGTGACCTCAAAATCAATAGGGGTCATCTACTAATCATGACTAACCTCCATGCCAAATATGAAGACTGTGGGTCAAAGGAATCTTAAGTTATTGGTCGGACAAGAAAAAACCGACGGACGGCCGGACAGCCGGACGGACAAGCTGATTCCAGTATACCCCCCTTACAACTTTGTTGTGCTGGGGTATAATAAAGTCTTCTTCAAGTTATAGCCAATTACAGCAAAAAACTGTGAAATCACATTAATTGTTCAGGTCATTTACCAGCAAAAGATTAAATTTTATTCATGTTCACAGATGTTAAAGGAATCTTGGGTTTTCACAGAGAATATGAAAATTACCAGTTTCACAGTTGAAGCAATATTTGACGTGGTCAGAATGTACTGTTCTATGGTGCCAGTGTCTTCTACCATATGTAGCAAACTTCTCATCACAGAACCTACATTGAAACTGAGGGTCGCCATGCTCCTTTCCAATATGTGACAATCTAGCTTCTGATGTGTATAGAGCTAGTCCACATATTTCACACATAAACTTGTTTCTTCTTGTTACATGACCTACAGATAACTTATGCTTCAATAACACTGATTCAGAGTAACCAACATAAGAACATTTGTCACATTCCAAGACCTTATTCACATGTTTTTCAATATGTGCCTCAAAATAATCTTTTGCTGTAGACTTGAAATTGCCACATACTAAACACTTGAACAATTCTTCTGTTAAATCAACATTACGATCTTTTCTTGCAAATGATTTGACAATTTCTATACTGTATTTGTCCTGATGCTCTTCTAATTTTATGTGAACCCATGGCTTTTTCCTTTTCTTACAATTTTTATCAACTGAATTACTGATTTTTCTTTTTCTCTTATCCATATCTTTATTTGATGTCTTACTTTCAGTCAAGCAATCACCTTCATTCCCCAGTATGTAGCTTTCCTCTTCATCAGTTTCAGAACTATTATCACTTTCATTAAAATCTTTAACATTGTCAATATCATCAGGAAAAAAATCAAGATCTTTTACTGTTCTTTTACCAATTTTTTTACTTTTAAAATCATTTTGAAATTCATCATCTTCTGTCACTACAGTTTCAGTGAGAAAAGTAGACTTTCTTCTTACATTTTTCTGTATCTCCTCCATTGTAACCACATTTTTCTCATGGTTATCTATCCAATCCAAGGTTGCATAATTAGGCCTGTAACCCCGTGACTGAACTCTTGAGCTTCTCCTTCTGTTTCCTATATCTGCATTATCTTCAGTAGAAGTAGAATCTTCAGTTATCTTGATCATTTTCTTATCAGCTTTAAGGTAATTCATTATATCTTCAATTTCTGTGTCAGACTCTGATTCCTCACTAACACATTCTTCTTGCTCACTAACACATTCTTCTTTCACATTTGGACATGTAATTTCTGGCGACACTTCTCTACATGGTTCACTAAATATAATATAAGCTGAGAGTTTTACACAAAGTTTACAAGAAAATTTCATATCTGATTAACATTTATACTAAACAGCCGCCTATATGACTGAAATACTGTTGGGAAAAGGCGTAAAATGAAACAAACAAATACTAAACAGATTTTAAGGAAATATATCATAATTATTTTACAGAAGCAGCTACAGCATTGATTTGATGAATATTCATGTACTTTGTTTTAAATGTTAATATCAAATTAAATGATTACTGACAGCCTATATCTTTAATAAATATGTAATAATGATAAAAATATTAATCTCTTTAATATAAATGAGGCAGTACAAACATGTACTATATTCCTCATTAAAATAAGAGCTGTTCATAGGTCAGCATGTTTGACTATTATAAAAATAATAGCCTGGATAATTAACAGGAATATTTCATTTGAAACAAGGGGGTCATTGGCCCCAATGTGCTCACCTGAGGACAGACTGTTATTTGTGTGTGGTCTTGTCCAGACCCTATGTTGTTTGCTTTACAAATTCATTGGATGTGAAATTATATATAACTTACATCACAAGTCAAATTAAGTAAACTGTTCATTACATGAGAAGTCAAATTAATCAAACTGTTCATTACATGACAAGTCAAATTAAACAGTAACTATCATTCCGTACCTGCTAATCTTGTCTGATTGATCTGTCATTATTTCTTGCTTCACTAGGGCCTCTTTCAAAGGGTCAGGAATCTCATTCACAGAAGCATCTTCCACAAGAAACTTATTCCTAAAGGCCTCAGTCACAGGAGCCTCATTCACAGGCGCAGGAGCCTTTCTTGCATAAGCATCTTCAACAAGAGCCTTATTCACAGAAGCATTTCCAACAAGATACTTATTCCTGAAGGTGTTATTCCTAGAAGTGTCATTTACAGGGGCATCTTTCACAAGGTAATTATACCTTGAGGTGTTACTCACAGAAGCATGTTTCACAGGGGCATCTTCTACAAGATGATTACATGTTTTCCTAAAGCCCTCGGTTACAGAAGCCTTATCAACTGAAGCATCTTCCACAAGGTGCCTATTCATGGATGTCTCATTTATGAAAGCCTCATTAACATGGGAACTTTCCACAAGATTCAAATGCATTGAGGTCTCATTCAAAGGTGCTTCAGCCACACCAGCTTCCTTCTTCACAACCTCAATCACTTGGGTCTCATTTATTGGAGCCTGTTGACTAGCTTTATGGACATCACAAAGTTTCTGTATGTAGTCGGCTCTGTCATACCTGAAAATTGCATTATAAATTGATAGTAAATACAAAAAACAAAATATTATGTGTAACAATGCAATAAACTAGTTTTCTTGGTTCTAGCACCTCTTTGTAACTGTACAAAAACTTCAGTGATATACAGATACAGGAAGACAGTAGATTTTAAAATTTGGAAACAGTACAAAGTTGAGGGGCCGGTGGAAATGGGTAGGGGCGCAAGCATATAAGAAATTTTTAGACATAAAATATCTAAATCAGGAAGGGAAATTGTACTATTTTGGTGCATTATTATATAAATTGTTTAAATGTCCTTAAGACCAAATATTTCTAAAAATCAGTTTGTATTGGGGAAATATTAGAAATTACATAAAAAAGAATGTCCCTAGATGACAAATGTCTTAGGAATCTGCTAACATACAAACATTTAACATAAGTTTTATTGTTACCATGCATTGATCAACATATTTGCAAGTTGACTGTTAGAATTAACGTTAAGTGCACATTTCAGTTCTCTCCAAAGCGCCCATACATCATTTTGTAGCGTTATTATCCTATGACTCCCATGTTTTGGTATGATTCTTTTCTTCCAAAATCTGGAAATGTGACCTCCAAACCTACTTTGATGATCAAGCTTATACAAGCTGCAAAATATATGTAACATTTTTCTATTATTTTGCTTCTAATACTGTTTAAAGAACCAAGCAAAATCAAAAGAAGTTCAGTAATAGGCAGAAATTATTTCAACCCTTAAATTAACCTCTTACAGCTTTGGCAGGCCTTCTACTACAACACTATATAAAAGCTAGCTTCATAGCAAGGGCAAGTAAAGTACCTCTAATTGCTATTTATTTACATTAAACCTTCGGTTTATCAATTTTTTTTTAACTTATAGGACATCTGGATATGTAATTCTTTCACTCTCCTCCAGTCAAATGTTGGGTACCAATGTAAAAGGCATAAAATACTTATGCCCTGACTGTGATTGTAACACAGGACCACAAAACAGACTATCAGGTCACTAATAAAAGCTAGCTCCTGAACAAGAAAAGATAGTGTATGTGTGGTACAGTGGTTACACACTGACTATCTAAACTAGTAATCTAAAGGTCACAGCTTCTATTCCCAACCAACATGCAAAAGTAAATAACTTACAGGACAAAAAATTAAACTTAATCACCACACTGCCCTGTAGTATATTTCTGCCATGTACTTGTAGTTATGTGATACAGTCAACTTCTTTAATTTATGCATGCAAAATAATCAAACTGTTAAAGTAATAAGTCAAGAAGCTGAACATGAATCATAGAAAATTATTTTCACAATTAGTTGTACCTTTTGATCAAAAGTCGAGCGAGATCCTCATCTGATTGACAACATTTCTTTGATTTGATTTTTGCCCATCTCCCTGCCATTGAACCTAAATTCACAAATTTTCTTCGCACTTTTCGCATAAAAAAACATTTTCCTTTTCCAGGACTTTTACCATAATCTTGTGTAGATTGGTCAGGCATCTCCTGTGGGAAATTATTCTTATTAGTTACAAATTAATTAAATCATTATCCTGCCACATTGAAAATTCTTGTGCAAAGTTTAACAAAATCTACAAATTCATTATCACTGCTTGTAGAGTTTGAATACTGATGTTTGAATTTTAAACATATTTAAATGGAAATACCTTAGTGTATCTATCCTTTTTGGCAAACAGAAACTATAAGAAGCTCATATATGCAATCTTAATTCTTTTAATAATTTTGCTAGTCTACATTGTTAAATTGTATTGTGTTTTGAAAAAGTGATAGAAAACATTTTTATCAACTGTGTGACTAAGTTTGATAGGGTAATGTTTACCCAGCTGTAATTGTTTTCAATATCATTGAAGTGTCCAAATGCCTCGTGTTTAGAATGGCAGAGAACCAGCATATTCCTAAATGTCCTGACAATAGCCATGTTGGTTCTTACATTCAAAGGGAGACGCATTTAAATACAGCAAAGTCATGAACCATGTTTGAATTTGTCAGAAGATTTTGCAAAGATGTTTATTTTGCATATTGTGTTTTTTTTTATTGAAGATGAAGTGCAAAATTGACATGATATTTGAGAATAGCTGGTCATAGGAATGAGTGAAAATTTTGGAAATGGAAGAAAATGCAAGATGATTTTGAGGGTAGGAGCGAGGACTTTTTCCGAGCGATGGACTTTTTCCAGCTAACATTTTTATTTTGTGTGTATAATAGACATTGCAGTATAAATCGTTTTCCTAAACAAATTCAGTTTTATTGATACATATAATACATTTATGTGCTAGAACTGACAAATATACATCTTATCTGGATGTTACGCCTACGGAGTTTGAAGCTCCAGACCCCAGATGTCTGTGAAAATACTTCTTCTGTTTACAGTCTGAAGTCAACACTTTCTGTTTTAAAAATAATTCCATGACGATATATCAAAGATTTAAATTGTTGACATAGCTTTTGCGTTACCTTGATTGTGGATTAATATCTCACTGCCCTTACCGATTCTAAACCTTTTTTTTACTTGCAAATGGCGTAACATAAAATAAGGGGAGTAACTCAGTGATTTGGGCGAGATATAAAACCCGGCATCTCTGTATTGGAACTTGAAATTCTATCAAATAACCAATATTAATTATAATATCCAAATATACCCCCTATATACTATAAATAAACGTGTATGTCGGTCAAAAGCTATACATAGCTTATGTTTTGTAAAATGTTATATATGTATACCGACAATAAATAAATTTTGATTTGATTTGATTTGATTTGGGTATATTTTGCATATTATCATTAATAGTGATAGAATTTCAAGTTCCTGTGGTAAACTTTAACACGGCACACCTACTAGCTTTTTTATTATGGATCAATGTTAATAATTTTGATATAAAATGATAGATTACTTGATAAGCTTTCTAGGTGTGCCTTAGAAATTACAAGAGCTGTCCAAGATCGAAGTGTCCCAATTTGATAAAAGGAAAGTAGAAAAGAGGGCATAATTCTGATAATTTGTTAAGAAGTATTTTTTTTTAGTATTTCAAGTTTGAAGTGAATATCTGTGATGGGTTTTTTGAGAAAATTATGAAAATATTAAAAAATAAAAGGGAAATATCTGAGCAAGAATGCCCTTCATGGGTTATCTGTCTTTTAGAATTTAATGCATTATACTTTTATGGTGTATTTATAATACATTGTACATAACCCATATATTAATGCTTAGTGTAATCGTTAACGATTTTAAAGTAGTATGATGTAGATGTAGATAGATGTGTTAGTTTTCATGAAAAAATTTGTTCATTATATTTCAAGCTTTTGGGGTTTTAATATTGTACAATGATTTGCTGTACATGTATATTTACCAGAACCTGCTGATGAGACAAATACTCTCAGGAACACCTTCATATCCAGAATAAGATAAATGAAATATTCCTGGCAAACCTCACATCTTTGCTGTTTTACAAAAGGCAATAATAGGCTACTTTTTGCTGCTAAATTTGAATATTTCTATCCTGAAACAATTTTAGTCTTACAGTTCAAGGTTCAAGAAAGTTCAACCCCTTCAGCAAGGGTTGATGGTTTGAATCTCATTGACTTGAATGCTTACAACCACAGACACTTGGGGTGTGGAGCTTAAAGCCGCAAAAATCCCTGCCATGGTAGGGAGAATTTTGTAGGCGTGTTTATCAGATAAATCATGCAAAGGACACTGTACCTGTGCTAAATTTAGCTGATGTAAACAAACACTATAGCAGACGATAACATTTGTTATTACTGATCAGCAGCTCCCTTCCTATAGTAATATTTCAAGTTTCTACTGCCATGTGTATTTGTTTACAACCTGCAGTTCATGACCCCATTTTACTCCGCCCCGGGATTTTCAAATTTTTGAAAGTTAACTGATTTTTTTTTTCACAAAGTACATTTAAGTGAATCTTTTGTGATATTTTCTCTGCCATTTTATTTCAAATGTTGCAAAGAAGTTATACAAAAAGTTTTTAGGCAAAATACTTCTTGGTTATTTTACTATTTCAAAAAAGGGCTGTTAGATGTGAAGCATGTCAAAAATACCATGAAAATCTGCCCCAGCGCCATCTAGTGGCTTAAATAGTCAAGTTGCAGGTTTAAAACGCCTTTAAAATCCAAATGAAATGTATATTTGTCAATCCCAGCACATGTACAGATCATATATATAAAAAAAAAACTAATATAAGCTGTTTTGAAAAATTTTCATATTTCAACCTCTATAATAATATTGTAGAAGTTGAAATGTGAAATTTTTTCAAAACGGCTTATTTGGGATTGACAAATATACATTTTATTTGGATTTTAAAGGCGTTTTAAGCTCCACACCGTAAGTGTCTGTGCTTATTACAACAATTCCAATAAGTTCCAACTTTATTCAACAATTTAGATTACCATTAATTCAAATTTCATGGTAATCTTTTGTTGGTAGGCCTATTTTTATTTTCTTAAGCAATTATTAAGGTAGACCATGGGTAATGCATTACCTCCACTTTGAAGAGTATTCAAATAAACTAGTATCTTTGGTCAACTGCATTGAACTTGAGTGGCATGGGTTAAAACCCCAGAAGGGGCAACTTTTTTTTTTTTAACATTATTTATGTATCTCTCAGATCCCTAATGGAAGAAAAAAGTGTTTGATTTTAATTATATAATTATTGTAGGTATTTATTTGCTAAATAATCGATGCCAAATTTAATAGAAAATATGATACCAGATATTTTCAGAGTTTAATAAAAATAAAAACTACACGGTAAAAGTATTTTATATTTCACATGATCAACTAATATACTTTTAAGAAAATTTAAGCAAAATTTGGAAACGGTTCCTCATTGTGGTAAGTTTCAGGGATATTTTGAATAAGGCTTTTTATATAGGGAAGTTTAAAGTGGGTGGGGTAGGGTAACATTTTTATACATATTCAAAACATTTTGTTTAGAAGCAATCATTTTGCTCGTGTAATTTGTTACCTGAATGTTATTATTTGTTTCTTAACAATGAGCAATAGGAAAACATTTTTCATAATGATGATATTATAGATTATTTAGAGTTTCCTCATTTCTGAAAAAAAGCCCTTCTAATAGCAAAGTTTTAGTTCAGAAATATATCCATAACTCATAAACCACACGGTAAATTTTATTTAAATTTTGCATACAGGTGACCTTTAAGACATATAACTGTCCTATGTTGTCAATTTTACAGTTTCTTATAGTGTCCATTACCCATGGTCTACCTTAAACACATTGTTGCCTGATGATAGCCAAATAAGCAGTTGTATTGATGGATGATTAGGTAGTTTATACCTTGTAGCATATTGCAGTTACTGTGTTTTGTGACAGATGGACAGACAGATTATGGAGAAGGGATCTACAAATGTGTATAAGTCCAGCCTACTTCAAAATGAAAAATTATTTTATTTTAACAAGGCAAGATCTTTAATAAAATTTTTGCTGTGTAAAATGTAAACATTTTAGAGGGGGTGGATTAAAACTTAAGTTTAAACTGGTACATTATTTCAGGAATATTTAACATATGTGCAGAACCACGAACATTAAATAGTTAATTTTCTAGTAATATTCTTTATAAATTTCAACAAATTGAATATAGCTCTCAAAAAGAGGTAAGATCCCATTGAGAAAAAAGTTTGTCCTGTCCAGTCAAAGAAAATGTGCATCCGACATGACTTGATGTTTGTTTGATTGGGTTTTTCATCACATTGACACAGTATAGGTCATTTAGCGACATTCCAGCTTTACTGGTAGAGGAAGACCTCAGGTGCTCTTCCATGCATTATTTCAGACATGAACGGGCACCAGAGTAAAACCACCAACATTCCGTAAGCTAGCTAGATAGCTTCCTCACATGAAAGAATCTAAAGTCCCTGTTGGGATTCGAACCCACAGTGGTGAGGTGCAAGTGTTTTGAAGTAAACGACCTTAACTACTCAGCCACAGACGCCCCCCCCACCCCACCGACATGACTTGGAATGCAGTTACACTGCTCTGTATACGGAGTAACAAAGCCTGGCACATTTTCACCTTTACACTTTAACAGATTTAGAGCTTGACTTTCCCCAATATATTAATACATACATAGAATTTCTTATAGGTGGAGAGAATTTCTATTTACTCAGAGCTTTATATCATCAAGGTCCACTGATGAGTGCCAAACGCAAGAGTAAGAAAAATGTGCAGCCTGACCAAGACTCAAACCTGATGCTCTCAGAATACTATCCGCAGCTTTACTGATAGAGCTTATCCGCTGATTGACCAGCTCTATACTATGATGAAAATTTCAACAGAAGATTTTAAAGAGCAAGCATTTTTCTTGTCATTGGATATTTTAGGTTAATAAAGATATTGAAAAATGAAAAATTTTCATGACTTTTTTTTTCATGGAAAGTTAAAATATGAGAAATCTATTGTGTACAATTCCAATTTTTTTTTAAAACAATCAATTGAAAGATTCAAATAAAGACATAGAAAATGTGATTTTTTATTGTTTTATTTTACAAAAAAAAAACAGACCAACAAAGTTCTATACATACATATGTATTCATTTAGCTTGTATTGAAACCTCACGATCTTCATACATGGCATTTATGTTTTTTAAATCTTCTATTCTTCGCTCCACTTACTCAAAACTTACTCTATTATATTACCCTTTCATTTTTCCATCATTTAACATCGTAAGATATATTTTTCTACAAATATATCAGTACATAAAATATTCTTGTTCTTTGCATGAATCTTGCACATTGAATCTTTTTTTTTTAACACCATCATCAAACTAAACATTATAAAAGCATTACCCTACTAGTCACTGAATTTTGTTAGGGTTACTAAATGCCAATATCTGTTTACATTGCTAGTCATAAAAAAAATTACCACAGATCACTCTACATTCATTTTCCTGTAGAATCTTATCAAAGAACAATAATTTCCTATCTGTGTCATTTTTAACATATTTCTAAAGAATACTTTATCAACATCCTGCAATAAGAGTTTATGTTAGTGTGTGCCTCAAACAGAAACAGCCACAGTCTGTGCTTAGTGTTACAATCAATTTTAAATGTATCATCAGGTTGGGTCCTCAGGATTAAGGAAGAGACCACACATAGCTTCCATCAAGGCACGTTGACAGGCCATCTTAGCATCATAACCTCCAGCCTTATCTGAGTCAGAGGCCCCTCGTATATTTCTTATGTATCTAAAAAACAAAACATACTCTTATCATATGATACTTAAATGTTACAAATTATTACAATGACAATACAATAACAAACTAAAACTTGAGTTTTCTTATCTTCTCCCCACTCCCTTTAAATTAAGACAGAATAAAGGTGTATAGTTACAGACTAGAGATCAGCCTATCATATGCAGAATAATTGTTTTTATCTTGAAAGTAATCATAGTCATACTAACAATCCTATATTGAACTAATGATGATAATAAATTTCAATAAAAGAGAGTCACACATGTACATTATGAAATCATTGACAAAGCATGCTAAATATACCTGGTAGCAATGGTGTTTCATTACAGGGAACATTTTATTTTTGTCAACTTATATCATATTTAACATCAATTTTCTTTAAGTATCTTTGATTCTTTTATTTAAACAAACAAAGAGGTACATAAACATCATGATTAGAATTTTTTTTAAATAAAATGGTACATCTTGTCAGTTATATAGCTATAAATCATTTTATGATAAAAAGAAAACAGTACAAAAACAATGAAATACTGCACAAAGTATGTGACTAAGATGGTCAATCTTTATTTGTACACTTTTATTATTAGTTCCCTCACCTAAAGTCTAAGAACTGAGAGTATTTTTCTTGCAAATTGTTAAACGACACTCACCTTCAACATATTTAAAGACATACTACATGTAGTATTACTTCCCTTTTTAATTTAAAATATTAATACAGCAATTATAAAGTCTATATTTACACACCCCTTTTCCAACACATCATCTTCTGAGGGCGCTGAAGGTCCAAGTATTTCCAGTTCACATGGGGTATACACAAAGGCTTCTCCAACTTCTGCAGGTACAGGGATACCACTTGCACTCTTACTAAACCCCTGTGATAAAACATTAAATAAACATATAAATAAGTTGTTAAGTTTACATCCCTTAGTTTTCTTTTGACCAGTAACTCCTACAACGACTCCCGATGAACTTCGCTCGATAATGTTTTAGCTATCAAAGATTATATTACAGAAATAACTATAAAGTGCACACCAGATGATTAAACCTTGGGTGAAAAGACTCTATAAATAATTGCTGACTTATAAACAAAGCTTAAAACAAGAAGCTAACTCACTAACTACATATATTTCCGTACCAATTTATGATAGCTTGAACTATGAACTAAGCATAAAAAAGAAGCTAAATTACTAACTATACATTTAGCCTTAGATTATTAAATTAATAGCCTTAGATTATTAAATTTAACCACTGCCTGTAAAATTACCATCAGCTTACAATTTGTATTAAAGTTAAAGCAAATTTAGCTTCATATCAATAAGCCAAGCACTCATGTTACAGTTCAGAGTGAGGATTATGTAAAAAATCTTCTTTTGTTGTTAGGCTTAACGTCGCATCAACACAGTTCAGGCCATATGGTGACTTCTAGCTTCATTGGTGGAGGAAGACCTCCTGTGCACCTCTGTACATTATTTCAGGCACAAATGGGCAGCCAAGTAGAACCAACGATGTTCCGTAAGCTAGCTGGAAAGCTTTCTCACATGATCACATGTAGAATCTGATGACACTGGCCCAGCTGGAACCTACAGCAATGAGAGGCAAGTGGTTTGAAGTCAATGACCTTAACCACTCAGCAACGGACACCCCATAAAAAGAACTAAGTAAAATTTAAGTAATCAAACAGCAAGTAAAATAACAAACTATAAAGTCAGCTACAGATTATTACATTAAAGTTCTGTCTACAAATATAGCTTTAAATGATATACTGAATTACGGTACTTACAAATCTAGCACCAGATGAAAATGCTGAAGCCGTTGATTTCTCTGTTTCAACTGCCATCTCTTGTACATTGTTTGCATTGTGACCTGCTAGAATGGCTGAAGCTGGTAGATCAGAAAACATCTGAAATATATATTGCTTTGATTGTTGACACATGCTTTGCATAACACAGCATTCTTGAAGTCTTATACTGCTGAATCTATCCATGCAACCAGTGCAAACCAAGATCAGCCTGTATATCCTTATACATGCTCAAGTTAGTACATATTCTTAAAATTGTCCCTAAAGAATAATTCATGGTCATGCCAAGAGAGAAAGGTGGGCTGATTGCTAAGCCTAATCCATTTATGATATTTCAATTTAGTATGTTATGGGTTCAAACATAATACTTTTGCAAGTAAAAGTAAGAACTCCTGAAAAACTAGTATAAATTTGACAGGCGCTGGTCACATTTAGGATAGGTTGCTCAACAATTGCAAAATATAGTGGAATAATAATTGGATGGAGGTGGTTGCTGTGGAAGGGTTGCTAAATACATATACATATCTAGATTTTCTTACCTGATCTCTTTATTACCACATCACTTAATTATAATTTAAGATGAAATTATGTCATTTAGGTCTGACTGTCATAGACACATTCACATAGGTAAGAGAAAAGCACAATTTTAGAGAAAGGCATATAATTTTAAAGGAAAAAAAAACCAAAACATTTATATTTCATTCTGTACTTTTTGTCGTTCCGATCAATAATGGTTAATAAACATTTTAAAAGATTCCAAGATAAAACACATACCAATTCATCAATAAGAGCTTCTTTATTCTTCTTCTTTTTGTTTTTCTCTTTCACTTCCTCCATAATATCTAATTCATGTCTTAGTTTAGATTCTTTCTCTTCTTCTGCTATCAGCATTTCCAAATATTCCTCATCTTTGCTCTAAAAAAATAATATATTCTAAAATAAAATATTACGTATATCACATTAGACCATTAAAGTATGTATGGATGCTATTTAACTGTATTGTATGGGCCAGGGGGCAAGTTATCTCTGATGCCTGTATCTAAATGTCGCATGGAAGCAAGCAATCTGTGTAGGCATCTGTTGTACGGATGCAATGTATTTGTGTTGTATGGAGGTAAGGTATCTGTGTTGAGTGGCATTCCAGTATATGAGCTGTATGGTGAAAAAGGGTATTTGTGTTGTATAGAAGAAAGATATCTGTGGTGTGAGGATGTAAGGTTCTGTGGTGTAATGAGGTAAGGTATCTGTGTTGTGTAAAACAGTTTCTGTGTTGTTTAGAGACATGTTATTTGAAGTGTGTATTTTTGTTGTATGGAAATAAAGAAACTGTTTGAAATGAAGTAAGATATCTGTGTTGTAAAGTAAGATATCTGTGTTGTATGGATGTATGTAAGTTTTGTGTTGTATATGAAATGAATGGAAGAAATGTATCTAATTTTTTCTTTTTGTTTTATGTTCCATATTATTTATTTCCCTCATCAATAGCTATATTTTGATCGAGGGCATCCTACTCTATACGGTACAATGAATATATACACAACATATGAATTATAATAACAAAACATACATGTACATGTATTGCAGGTGATTTATGACCAATCCACAATTCTATAATTACACATATTACATATAATAACATATGTCACATATAAGTCAGTCAACACAGAACTTCATACAAATGTATATTTACTTACAAGTTTTGATCTATTTTTCTGTATAATATCCTTGTTTTCCTTCCTGTATTGTTCTACCATCTTTTTTGTACTTTCAACATCAATATTGTTCACAAAGTTATAAACTGTGAAAAAAAATAACAATAAACATTACAATTTTACAGATTTAATAACTAACTGAACCCGTCTTTTTGATATATTTAAAATGATTATTTGGAAAAACAAACTGTACCCTTTTTGTATATATAAAATGATTATTTGGAAAAAAAATATAAAATCCTTACAAAAGACATGAATGCAATAAAATATTAAACAAAACCACACATTCAAATAATGAAGTGTTATCTTTTATTCTAAACTCTTACCATGTTAAATAATCATATCATAAATGAACTTTTCCTGCTTTCAATCTGGGCAAAATCATTCATCATATTTGGGGTACTTTTTATGATATGTTCTGATTGAATAGTGAACAATGAAGACCATGATCAGATGGCACAGATGTACAGGCTGATCTTGACCTGCCATGGTCGCACAGGTGGGATCAGTCGACTTCAACAGGTTTAAGGTTAAATGACATGTGACTCAAAAATTAAGTTCCAACTGATAACTTTCACACTGATAATTTTAAATACATGTACTGCATTTGTCATGCTTTGAATTTGTAAATGTTCATTGTTAATTCAAGGTATTTCTTTACTCTCTGGCTAAGATTTCCAATATGGTCTACACTTACAGCTAATACTTAAACCTGCATTTTCTTCTAGAGATCTAAGTTTATCATACATTACCTGTATGCAAGACTTGTATATATTGAAGAATATAGTAACTTACTTATAGTTTCAAGTTGTTCTAAATAGTCATTATATTCTCGTAGCGTAGCAAAATCCTCTTCTTTCTTGTTAAAACTGAAATATTCAGGGTAAAAATATATTGATACAACCCTCTTTTGTGTACAGTAGGTAAAATTTAATTGATAATTTCATAAATTTCTTCATAATTATTCCAAAATTGAACAAACAAAAAATATTTTTTATTTGTTTAGTAAATTTTTAACTTGTCTTAATTTTACACATTTTTTTTGCAACTACATGTATATGGCATGATGATCATTTTTGATAAACTTTTAAGATAAAAAATTACTTCAACCTACAAAATTAATGATGTTATTCAAGCATTAATGGGCTGGAATGATAATATTTCCATTAGTTAAGAAAACTAGAACTGCCACTATCATGGCGTGAATACCCCCGCATACCACTTTGTCAGAATCAACAGTGGCCATTTAGAGCTCAAGGACAACCTCCCTGCCAAATCTGAGGTTACTAAGCCAGTGCATTGCTAAGTTATGTATTCTACATGATTCAAATGTGAAAATGTCAAAATCAATACACTGCGGACAGGCATTCTTTAGCAATTGAGAAGAAAAGCTTTTTTTGTCAAGGTCCCTGTGACCTTGACCTTTGATCCAGTGACCTCAAAATCAAAAGGGGTCATCTACTAATCATGACTAACCTCCATTCCAAATATGAAGACTGTGGGTCAAAGGCATCTAAAGTTATTGGGCAGACAAGCTTTTTATAGTCAAGGCCCCTGTGACCATGACCTTTGACCTGGTGACCTCAAAGTCAATAGGGGTCATCTACTAATCATGACTAACCTCCATGCCAAATATGAAGACTGTGGGTCAAAGGAATCTTAAGTTATTGGGCGGACAAGCTTTTTGAAGTCAAGGCCCCTGTGACCTTGACCTTTGACCTGGTAACCTCAAAGTCAATAGGGGTCATCTACTAATCCTGATAAACTTCCATGCCAAATATGAAGACTGTGGGTCAAAGCAATCTTAAGTTATTGGACGGACAAGCTTTTGAAGTCAAGGCCCTTGTGACCTTGACCTTTGACCTGGTGACCTCAAAATCAATAGGGGTCATCTACTAATCATGACTACCCTCCATGCCAAATATGAAGACTGTAGGTCATAGGAATCTTAAGTTATTGGGCGGACAAGCTTTTTGAAGTCAAGGCCCATGTGACCTTGACCTTTGACCTGGTGACCTCAAAATCGATAGGGGTCATCTACTAATCATGACTACCCTCCATGCCAAATATGAAGACTGTAGGACAAAGGAATCTTATGTAATTGGACGGACAATTTTTTTGAAGTCATAGCCCCTGTGACCTTGACCTTTGACCTGGTGACCTCAAAATCGATAGGGGTCATCTACTAATCATGACTAACCTCCATGCCAAATATGAAGAGTGTAGGTCAAAGGAATCTTAAGTTATTGGGCAGACAAGCTTTTTGAAGTCAAGGCCCCTGTGACCTTGACCTTTGACCTTGTGACCTCAAAATCAATAGGGGTCATCTACTAATCATGACTAACCTCCATGCCAAATATGAAGACTAAAGGTCAAAGGAATCTTAAGTTATTGGGCGGACAAGAAAAAACCGACGGATGGACGGACGGCCGGACGGACGGACAACCTGATTCCAGTATACCCCCCTTACAACTTTGTTGTGCGGGGGTATAATGAATCTAAATCAAATAAAACCAGAGATGTATGTCAACACAGTCAAACATGAGTAAGCTACATGAACATGTAGCTCCCCTATTCCTTAGATACAATGTGAATTGTATTTAAGCAACCTATCAAATTATAATCATAATCTTATTAGGTACAATAAATCCTTATTACTCTTTCATAATCTTTTTCCTGATGTCAACTTCTTTTTCAACAAAAGCATCTTCAAATAATTGCAATCGGAAGTTATTTCTTCTAAGAGAAGTACCACATTCTGGACAAGTGCCTGAACCTTTAATAAACAGGAGGTCTACACAACTTTCACATCTGAAGAAAAATCCAACAAAGAAAACATTAACAGATTATACATATATGACTATGTATTAAAGTGTTAGATAAATACACATACACTTTTTTTCAAGTTAAACAAAAATCCTTTTATGCATGAGAAAGTTACAGCTCAGACAAAACCAAAAGGAGCATGATGGACCTTTATCTCTCAAAAGAATATAATTATGGCCATAAAACGAGTATGTTAAAAGGCCCATTAGTCCCCTAGAAATGCTAAATTTTTATTTCTCTATAATTAATTTTTGCAAATATGCTAAAATTAGATGAAATAATGATTAAATGGAACCTGATCAAGACCAATAAACAACATAAACATACATCAAACAAAATGGCCGAAATCGACCAAATTCAAGGGCCAATTTATCTTGTGCAAAGGATTGTGGATCTGACCAGGAAAATATTCTATTTTTAGAGCTTCTTATCCCTCTGTTTTAATAAGTCTCTGCTCATTTTCTTTACTGAACATTTTATGAATGTTTAGTTAAACTTTTTTAAATTTAAAAATAAATAATGGTTAATTCTATCTATTAATGATACATGTAGCTTCTTCAAATAATAATAATAATGTCATCCTAGATATATTCCGTACTATTTGATTATGGGCCAAATAAATCTTATAATACATTCTCCGTATATAGTACCTGTAGGATTGTGATTTATAGAACTGTAGTTGATTCAGTGCAAAGCAAATCAAGATATATATAGATTATAGATATCAGAAGACAAATATCAATGATACACCAAAATATTAATAATTTCTTACTTATTAATTACTTGTCTGTAATTCTTTTTCATACCTGTTTATATGCTTATGATCTTTTCATGCATATGTCTTGTTTATAAATGTCAATTGCATGATTATTGCTGAATATTCTTTTGTATCACTGTTATGAAATATGCTTCTGCATGTTTTGGGTGAATTTTCATAATTTCTAGACATTCAATTTCAATTATTTAATCAAAATTTATCGATTTTCTAAAATGTGTTTTGATTTTTGATCAAAAGAAAAAACAAAAATATCATCAAATTCAATATCATTTCTATCATGCTAGATTCTGAGTTATTTTGTTCCGGGTCAGAATCTTGCTTCTATGTAGAGGAGAGATATTGCACATTCACAAATTAGCACAATACATGTACCTTAGAATGTTACCTGACTTACCATAGCATAATTAATTGGACTATGCAAATGTCCAGCTTTAAGGGTTCAAATCATGGTGATTTCTGTGCAAGTCGGTCAAAATTTGTATAAAATCTTTTGAAAATTTATAAAAAGAGTAGTTCTGCTATAGTTTTCAACAACGAATAGTTTAAATGACAACTAATTATTTCTTTAAGATACATATACATATTCAACAGACTGAAAAATGACTTATCCGAATTTATGTACACTACACAAAATAAATATTATGATATTTACAAAGAATGCCCGCATACGTTGACCATCAACTTTAACGAAGGATTTCTGTATTTTGTAGTTTTGCATCTTGGACAGCCTTGGTCATCCATCATTTGATAACAAAGGATGAATTCGCAATTTCAATCAGCTGCTAATTTTTTGTGTAAAAAATCCAATGGACTAATAAAGCACGCAAAGATCTAAAACGCGCTACGTCTCCGTGAGGGGGGAGATAGATGCGCGACAATTTTGATAGAAAAAAAAACACAAAACGTCCACTAATTTTTATTTATTTTTTGACCGTATACTTATAGTAATTATTTACCTATATCTAATTGATAACAAATTTTTCAGAGAAAAAAAAACCCAAAACGTCCACTATTTTTTTTTACCGTATACTTATAGCAATTATTTCCTTTAAAATATATCTCCGTATGCATTAAACGAGACTTACCTGGAAGTTGAAGTTCAATTATTATTCTACTGCTACTGGACCACAGGGTTTAATGAGATGAACATATGATATTATCAGATAACCAAGCAGACTTTCAGAGCATAAATAATCATGCAAAATGCGACAATGGCTTATTAATATGGGGGGGGGGGTAACGGGGTGGGCATTAAACGGTTAACCCTGTGGTCCAGTAGCAGTAGAATAATAATTGAACTTCACCTTCCAGGTAAGTCTCGTTTAATTTATTAATTCTACTGCACTGGACCACCTAGGGTTAATGAGATTTTAGAGACCATGCTCGCATTTTTATAAGCCGTTAAAAATTCATAACCAAGTACAATGATTACGCATTCAATCTTTCAAAACTGAAAATATAATGTACAAAATAAGGTATGCAATAACCATGTACATAAATGGTGCAAAAATAACAAGCGTTATAACAGTACGTACATTATTCCCTATGTTTTCTGTACAGAACACATGAAAACAACGCTTATTAGTCTTATACATGATTTGACCCCTGTAACATTTGCTGCAATGTTACATTGCATAGATCTAATTGATATTGCATATATACAGAAAATCGCAAACAAGTTTGACACATAAAAATTATTTCACATGTAGTGATAAACTAAATTACTAAAGCAATTCAAGCTTTTCATGGAAATAAAAGAAAGCGGATCAATCATAAATCAACCTTAAATATAATCAACATTTAATGCTGCATTAACATCCGCAGAAGCACGAGGACGCATTTCTGTTTCATTTACATAATAGAGAACATAAAATCATTTTTACTGATTGAGTAGGAAGCTTATAAAAGGTCTTTTTAGAAAACCCGCCGCATTTAAAACCCAAGCCCGCAGGGCGAGGTATCAAATTCCGGGGGCTTCTACAAATGTTAAAGCACGAAAAAAGTGCATTGAATTAGCGATATTCTTGCATAAAATTATACGTCTGATTCGGTGATTACGCTTTCCGTTAAAGAAACCGGTTTCGTCATGCTTTTCGCGTGCGTGTGCGATGAAACTACCGGGTCGTCATTGCATAAAGCTGCCTTTACATTTTGCCCCGAGTCACTCATAGACAGGGTATTGCAAAATGTGCAGCAACGGCACGTGCTCGTGTGGTTTTATCCGTTAATCAATGCGTGCTGTTTGTTTCTTAGTTAATGTTACTTATGTATACCTGTAAGCCCTTTTTTCTGCAAGAATGTTTATGAAGGCACGAAAAGGTGTCGTCAATACTTTAAGGCTAATATAAAGACAGCATGCAATATTCTTTTTTCCCTTTTTTTTTGTCACTTACTTGTTCTATGAGTAAATAAAATAGCTTTCAATTTGACATTGTCATAATGATGTCCATTTTTTGTGTGTACTTTTGATTCCAAAGATATCTTCTTGCGTGTATGCATATGTACCGGGTAACAAGCGCTTATGACATGTTATAGTTAATTTACACGAGATTTGTAAGAATACTTATACTCGCAATACTTTAATGCTAAGGCTGACCCTGATACAACACATATATAGGAGTAGAAATTTCACGTGCTATATTCAAAAATAAACATTGTTAAACGAGGAATGTCATTAAAAGTGTACAGTACACGTATACGATTTGTCCGTTTCTGCACATGTGTCCTGGGAAGACATATCCCACAGATACATTAAATTGCAAATATTTCATTGTCCAAAAGTTTGACAAGACATTGTGTAACCGCTAAATTAATCCTTTTTGTATTTTATGGTAATGATATATAAAGATTATTAAATTAATATTGGATTGAATTCCGTTTTATACTAAAATTATGTTTGAAAAATAAAATAAAAAGTTGGACACCGTCAGAAACATTTTTTTGTTCGTGCTGTAAAGATTCCGTTTTTTATTTTTATTAAGTAAGAATTATTCTTAAATTTATTATGGTTCATTTTGCGAAAATTAATTTTTAAAAAATGAATAAAGATATGAAGTACGGCGTTTTATTTTTCATACCACTTTCCGAGTGCGTTTTCCAGGGGCTAAATAACATTTGAACTGTTTTATAAACTCCATACGTTTATTCATTTTCTTGAAATTACACTCTCTAAAATATCAGTAAAAATGATAATTTTGAAATGTTCCCTATGACATTTACTGCATGTTTTCCGATAGAGGGCGGATTAAATGACGTCGCTATCACGTGGTTTCTGCTTCCTGTAAAGTGAAAACAAACAGCACGACTTTCCAATTTCTATTTGGTTTGTACAGTTTACCGTCAGAATTATTATAGATTCACAAGTAATTTATATCTAGTAATCGCCTAGCTTATCCAAACTTCAATGGGAAGTTATGCGGTCTATTTTAGGAAATGGTTTGGTGTATATTTTGCTGCTAAAGAACATGTTAGTTTTATGATATTCATGAATGAAGGTGGGTGGGGTATTTGTTTGCCGTGATCGTTGCACGCATACGATTGTAATGGTAGAGGTTTTGCTTTATTTTCAATTTGATGCAGTGAAGATGACATAAACATGAAGATTTGACATTCAAATGTATGCTGTTTGTGGCATAAAGTGTTATCATTATTCCCAACCCCAAAAAATGTTTGTCACTGAGTGAATTAAGTGTTACCAAGAATGAATAATAACAGAAGATCAGTGCTAGAATGAACATGTGTCCGAAAATATATCAGAGTCCAATTCCGGTCTGCATCAGTTGACACATTTTTCCCAAAATCGAGTGGCTAAGGCATTTTCACAATTAAGTGAGAAAAATCACTGATCACAATTTTGTAAATTTTTTCAATTGATGTTATTAAACTGCAACCCAACGCTCTTTTTTTCTCGAAGTCTCGAGATGACAAAGATCAATATTTCTTTACTGTAGCCAACAAGGCGATTAATCTCTCAAAAGTAAACATAAGAAGACAATTGCTGTTTCTTGATTAAAATCCTCGCTTAAAGTCATAAAATAACATATAGATGCATTTTCGAGTTCCAAATAATTTTGAAAAGTGCCGTACGACTAGCCAATACAATGTGTCCTGGCTAGCCGTACGTGACTCAGATACGACTAGGTCATACGTGACACACATACGGCTAGAACTTTTAGCTAGCCGTATGGGCCTGTACGGCTAGCCACTTCCTTATTCATACATGGTGGTAACCAGAGGTAACAACAATAGCATCCACGCATCTTTTTTTCTCATTACAACCCAATGCAGGACCACAACCCTCTAGGGTTAGTCACGACAGGTTTACCAATAATCCCTGGTACTGAGGATGACTTTACCTTGACCTGCCATGTGCCTTATCCATGCATTCCTCGGGAGGGATATGGAAAAGTCCCAACAAATTCAGTGACTGTAAGTTGTATACTCCATTCCTATGACACAACAGTTCTAGAATAGATAAGAAATGAATACTTTTATTTCCTATCAAGGTCAGAGTTCTGAAATTTAGATTTTTTTCCACTTGCCCATAGACACTAATTGAACAAAAATTTTTACTTGTCTGTAACTTTATGTAAAATTTAAAATTTAAAAAATGTAAAATATGTAAAATTTGACAAAAGTTAATGAGAGGTAATAGAGTCCTTTTAATGAAAAATTGGGACAGATTTATATATAAATCCTATATAAGGACCTGATGTTGTATCAACAGTTTCTTGTTTGTGTATTTAGGACATTACAGATTGGTTTGTGGCCTGTGGCCTAATGCAAATCGGTCCTGCCATTGTATTGCAAGATTTTCAAACTTAACATTTAATCTGAAAGTAATAATTTGTTAAATTTCAGTATCAGAAACTTATTAAGACTATCTATATCAGATTTGTTTGCTATTTGTAGCAGAAAAATGTGTTATGTATAAAGATTGCAGTCTATTTTAAAATAATTTAGTTAAATGAAAATTAGAGTACATCCTGAATATTCAAAATAGATTTGATATCAAATGGTCACAATTTTGACTCAATTGTCATTAAACTTGGTCAGGATGCTTGTCTAGATAATTGCTTGGATGAGTTTGAACTTTGGTCATTTTGGATTAAAAACCAGGTCACAGGAGTTAAAAATAGAACAATCTTGTTAACACTCTAGTGGCTACTGTTTTGATCAAAATATCCTGAAAATTGATTAGAAAGTTTGTTATGGTGATTTCTAGGTCATGTACGAATATCGGTCACATGGGGTCAAAAACTAGGTCACACTGCTCAAATATGAAAAAAACCTTGTAAACACTCTAAAGGTCACATTTTTGACTCAACTGTCATGAAACTTGGTTAGGATGCTTGTCTAGGTAATTGCTTGGATGAGTTTGGAGGGTCAGGTGAGCGATCTAGGGCCATCTTGGTCCTCTTGTTTGTGTTTTTCTGCAATTGTGCAATTGTGATTAAGAAATTTTCTAAGTGAAAAATAAGATCTTTTTTTTTTCAAACTGTTTTTACTGTCATACAATATTTTTTGAACCATTGGATAGTCAGGAGGCATATACATGTACATCAAAATGGTATAACACTGAGATGCAAATTACTTTGCAAAATAACTGTTGAGAGTTACAATTCATATATGGGTAACAAGCCATTTGCTGAGCACATTACCATATAAATTATAAAAGGAAAAACTACTAATTTGAGGTTATTATGTTCCAGCTGGCTGCATAGTGCTCTGGCCATTTATGGCTGACAATTGTTGCCCTATAAATTGATGTTTTTTGTTTGACAGCTGGCAAAAACTTCAGTCTTGTATCAAATATCTGTACTGAAATAAAGATAGGTTGCCTTCTTGATGCTTTTATCTTTTTTTCAAGCAGTGACAGCTGTGGTTTTGATAATGGTGTGAGCTAGTTTTAATTTGTTTGTGATTCGGTTAGATAAATGTAGTTAGTGTTTTCTGGCATGTTATCAGATAGTGTTCTAATTGGGAGATTTCTTTACAGTGTGCAACAATTTGGCTTGTAGATAAAATAACAGAGTTATAATCAGTGATTTGTCTTGTGTAGAACAATCTTTTCCTGTATGTTACTGGAAGTTAATGCATTATACATGTAACAGTAAATTGTGAACTTTTATTGAGGTATTTTCTATATTAGTTTTGGTTTTTAAACAATTTGTGCATCAGTTATTTAATTTATTTTGCACTTTGCTTATTATTGAATTTTATTACCAGTAATTGGTTATTTTTGTCTCATGGGTGGTACAGTCTGTACAGTTAAATTTAGCAAGAAGGCTTGAAATTTTTTTAGTAAATGAATGTTTCACACCTGATTGACCTTGGAAGTGCACATATGCATGATAAAAATTTTAATATAAAAGAAATTTTCTGGTGGTGTGAAAATTATGTTTTGGATATTTATTGCTGAATTGTTAAACTGTGTTGTTAATGTGAAGGGAGAAAAGTATATCATAAATAATGACCATTCTTTGCCTTCCCCAGGTCAAATGATTGTGACTGACGTTTGTATGTATACAGTATTTTTTTTTACATGATTCAAAGTCTTCTTAAGGACAAGGTAATAATTATTATAACATGCATTGTTATATTAATCATACAAAAAAAATAACCCAAGTATTTCTTTGAATACAAAGATCCTTCTTTTTTTTGTGTGGGTTGTAAGATTTTACTTTTGTTTTAAGTTAGATATGCTACACCTTTTTTAAATACGAAGAAATGTTTTCATATGACAAGTTATACAGAATAATTGATCTAAAATCAACTAAAAGGCATTATAAAATAGCAATTTTTATCGCCAGGCAAAAAAAGATTTTATCTTAAAGGAAATCAGTGACCTGGATCAAATGATTAAATCAGGTTTATAATTAGTCATCTGAGGTTTCCGCTATACTGTAGCTTGCTGGTGGTGTAGTGTATATGTTTATATGACATATATATCAACAGGTATTTGAGTTTTGAGATGATTTATTCACCACAGGTGATTTATTTCTATATCGGACAAGATAGTGGAATAGCACAAGAGTGTGGGTATAAAGGATAAAGATTATCTTATATTGTGATCCCCTCGGATTTATTGTTGTAGTGGTTTTATTCATACAGGTTTGAAAACTTTTTTTTTTATTGAAGAAAAGAACCATATTGTTAAAAAATTTATCTGTGTAAAAATATGTTTGAGGTTTATCTATCAGTTCAGTTGGATAAAAAAAAAGATTGATAATTGATGGACAACTTGCATGTCATGACTGATATCTGGGTTTTTCTGATATACATGTATGTTATCATAAACATGTAGTCTGTCAATTTAACTTTAAAGCACTGTGTGCAGATATATACCCGGTATACCGTAAGTGAATGTATGACATATTGTATATTTATAAATCAGTAATTATATGAATGAATGGGAAATGTTAAAATAGATGTTTTGACCATAGTAAAAGAGTTCGGCTTACAGACCTTCAACTTCTATGCATGACACCACAGGTTATCGGCGTGGGACCAAGCCCTACCCCTAAGGTACCACCCCCCAGGACCCACTATACTACCCAAATATACTTCAATACATTCAAAATACATGTCAATACAAAATCAAACAATTCTATCAAAAAATATAATACTGATACTATATAGTATCAGTATTATATTTTTTGATACCTTAGGGGTAGGGCTTGGTCCCACGCCGATAACCTGTGCATGACACATGCCTGTTCCTGTCAAGTTTAAATACATTATGTATATTTTGGGATATATTAATATTGGCATTTCTTATTTGACTAGTTTATATTGGGGAGACTGGTTTTTATTGTGAAAAGAAATTTGCCGTGACTGGCAGGTTCAGTACATTTCATTGTTACTGCTCATTTATATTGTGTACCTTTTCATTGCAGGACTATTTTCTTTGCTACCACTTTAGAAGTCATTTAATATTTATGTATTTTGTTCATATATACCAGCCTTGATAAATTGGCATTTTACCATAGCGGAATGTTAAACTGTCCTATTTAATACCAGTATGTCATTGAATAATTTAAACTTACTCATCCCAGCTGTAACATACAAATATTTGAAGTTCTAGGTCAAAATTCTATTTCAAAGATAAGTCTGCAAATTGATAGTTTATACAGTACTGGTATTATTGTGAAATATAGAAGGGATATCACATTTTAAAGTTGTGGGTGTTGGTTTTGAGCCGTTGAGTAATGGTATTATTTTAACAATGTTGTAATCAACGTTAATTATTTTCAGGGCCTTTTTCCTCTTATTAGGAAATAGTCAAAATACATGTGTTTTGAGGTGCCAAAGCTAGATTCTGAGATATTCTTGTTCTGGGTCAGAATCCCGCAGTAGAGGGGAGATGCATTGTATTGCCCATACTTATAAATAACACAATATCTGATCGCATAGTACAATTAGTTGGACTATTTAGCAAAGGGCTTAGATTGAGAATAGATAATGTGGCATTTTGGAAATTAGAGAAATTTTAATAAAGTTGACAAACTATCTAATACATATTTTTTACACCATGTATGTTTTTGTTTATGACATCATATAACTTGATACCTTTTGTAAGAAACAAGTCAATATAGTTAATTATTTGGCCCATGGTGATTAAAGTGAAAATGCTTCTATTTTTGGTAATTAGACAAATTGTTGCAAAGATGTGCTTGTCGTCTTGACATAAATTTTTAAAGATTTTGGTAGCATAATTATTTATTCTTCTTTATGTGTGTATCAGTACATCACTGCTGATTGATTTTGTGTTCTTAATTTATTGATGTTGATTTAAATGCATGCATTCATGTACACAAGCTTCATTTAAATGCAGATCAAATCAATTCCACAGTATGCATTGTCAGTATTCAAATTTTATTGATGAACGGAAAACTCTTCTTCATGGACAAAGTAGTCTCTCTGGAAGATTTGGATGTATTAATTTTCAACCATTGACCTTATGAAGAGTGGAAAGAGAAAAAAACTTTTATAAAAATTCAAATGTCACTTGAGTGTAAAAATGATAATAGAAAAGCTGCAGTTGCTCAGTGTTCATTCCCGTGACAGTTTTAATTGAAAACCTGAATGATTTTGTAGGGAAACTAAGAATTGTTAATTACTATGTTTCTTGTATTACAAGTACCAGCATGCAAGGTACTGCAGCTGTGACAACAGGCATTGATATGACTCATACAGCAGTTTTGCATGTTAAAGGGCTTCTCCTGTCTTGAAGGAATTTATTTGTCAATGCTCTGTGCATTATTGTTGTCATCTCTGTATTATATTACAAATTAGGAAGTTCACTTCCATCTTGGTTTAGAGTGAATTTGATAATAACTGGTTAGTCATTAGATGATATTGTATGATGAAATGTGATAAAGATCTTTAACATGCCGTTTTTTATGTGTTATGAAAGTTTATATGGTTTACACGCCACATTCCATGTCGAGACAACATCCTAGCTTAAGGCTTTGATCTGACTCCATTAGCTAATTAGCCATTGTTATCAAGGGCCGGTATCAAGGCTTGCTGGAGTCGCTTGTGTTCTTTTTAATTATCGTTTGCTGTATATACGTATGTCATTATTAGCCTTGCAGCTAATTAAGTATGGTTGTCATGCACTGTGATTGGTCAGCACATGTACTGGTCACTCTTGGTGTCCATCTCTGTCAACTGGACATGTATAATCTATCATACATGTCCAGTTTGAAACCTCATTAGTCGATTTAATGTAGGATTTCCTTCAATTACTCATTGTTGATGATTATGTTGCCTCATTTAAAGAATGTTAAATTGTGTATTGATTTTGAATCCCCTTTTAATTTTCTTCATATTGAATGACATTTAATACTAAGTGATGTTCTTTTTAGTTAGGAAAATTGAAATTTGAAGACACTTGCAGTGTCTTGAAAGGCAGCTCAAAATGACTCATTTTTAGTTTTAAACCATTTGATTGTTGTTAGATTGGCACAATATGAAAACCTTTAGATCTGATAAAAAGTTTATCTTTATCGCAATATTTTATTGCTGTACTAGGCGAATTGGGGTGAACTTGAGGGCTATGGACTATTTAATTGTGAGGGACGCATTTACTATTCTGTAACATTATAATGATAGCTGTTCAATGGATTTTATGTTGTCATATTGGATTTTATGTTTGAAAGGAATGTAGATTATTTTGACTTTATAGCACCTCTTAATAATGTAATACTAGACAAGGTCGCCAATATCTTGAGTCACTGACGATTAGAGATAAATGATCAAAATTTTGACACAATCCTTAAATTCTTACACCTTCATATTATATGCTAACAGCAAATATTGTCATATTTGTATAAGAAATAGTTTTTCATTACACGTTTATGCTTGCTGTGATCAGGGAAATTGAAGTTTTATAAATTTCAGCTATTCATTGAGAAAGTTGTTAGTTTTGTATATTTAGTACAGCTTTTCAATGTTTTGCTAAAATCTATTTCTAGAGTTTTCAATTTGTTTGTCTTTGGATTAAGAAAGTTTGCTCTTTAAGTGGATTAAAAGTTGAAATTATATACAAAAATAATATTGTTATAGTAATTTTGATAGCATTTTGTATATATATGTTATGTACCGTAGTAACTTGTATTTGACCACCAAAACATCTCAGTTATTTGAAGAATTAGGGAGAATTATTTTGTCACTATCTTTATGGTATAATAAAGTGAATATTGTGTTTAATGATAAGTATGTCATTTATGAAGATAACCCAATATTTTAGTTGATGTGGCAGCCAGTATACAGTCATACTTACATTTCTCAGTATCACACTGCTTTATAGCAATTTAATCATTTGGTTAAGCTATAGCTATTATATGGAGATTGCCCTGAATTTGTGCTGTTTACCCTGAGCTTGCTGAGATCTGCCGGTACTTTCGGTGCTGTATGCATGGTTGGCACTGTTCGAAGTCAGTACATATTTTTATCTTTTCCCTCAAAGTGATGAATGTTTTTTCCAGTTTGAAGTTCTAAGATGGACAAGACCATTTAAGATATTAAAGGTTACCAGTAATTTAAAAAGCAATTTTTATACCAGACATAACAATGTATTAATATTTGTGTTGAATTTATTGCTTGTATTTTTTTCCTTTTCAATATTTTTTTTTGCAGTTTGTGATAACGATCATATTCATATTAACTCTTTACCTGCATTATCATTTTTGTCAAAATGGAAAACTTAGTTACGGAGGTATTTCATAGCTATGTTTATGTTTTCTCTGTAAACTGTATACAATAAAGCAGGCTATAATATTGAAGAAGCCTAATTGCAAACCAAGTTTATTCATTACAGTTTGGTATTGAAGCTGCTAAAAGTCCAAGATCGATCTGGAGAAGCTATTGTGTGACACTTGAAATAAATTTTCCAAAGTAATTAAATCCTGAACTTGCAATTTCCCAAAGAGAAAATGAATCGGTGCAGACAAAAAAAACGGGAGAAAATTTATGAGAATACTCTGGAATGTTGCAGTCAAATGAATACGCAGATAAATTAAATGGATTGTTTGAAGTTATGCAGATTGTCTGATACAAATAAAAAAATGAAGCTAGAATATTTCCGTCATGCTTAAGTATAGATAAGGACCGTAGATTGTTTTCTTGTTGAAGACCAAGTGGAATAATATGCGATGGTAACTGTCTGTTTGTTTGTGGTGGGAAACAGATAATGGTTCTTGGAATTTTATCTTGGCAGTGTAGTAATGGAATCAGCAGGAACAGGAAACTTAACTTCTGGCTATATTGATAATAAAAATTGCTTTTTTATGATGGATAAGTTTCTGGTGTAGAATCTTGTTGATCAATGGCTTTAATAAGAAAGTGTAAAGTCAGTGACTCTCAGAAATGTTTTTTGATGGCGTCAGATAGTAAAATTGACATGTGACTTACAGATAAGATTTTAGGGAAGTGAAAGTGGTTGTCTATGATAAAAGATCATTTTGTGACAAAAAATACCATTCAGAAACTGTATGTGTAAAGTTTGGCGTTGGTTTATTTTGTTTTTCATATTTATCAATTTTAAATTCCAAATATCTTGGAATGATACACAATACTGGCTTACTCACGAGAAAGTCAGAAATCTAGTTATCTCTATCAGGGACATGCTTAACATGCTAGATACAGAGCTATAAATGCCAAACTTATATCTCTGTTGTTTAGAAATACTGATAACAGATGTAATGATTCCTGGTCATCATATTCATAAAGTTATTAATTTGATAAGAGCTGTTTGTTTTTACTGTGTATGAGCCTGCAAACAAAGAACGCTGATCTTTGTCACCCTGAGGCTTGTACAAAAACCTATAGATTTCTATCTCTTAGATCCTGCTTAAATCAATGGTAACTTAAGTAATGAAAATCAGGTATTTTTACTACTCTGACAACAGCTGTAGTTGTGAATTGGATATTATTGACCAAAATGTTTTGACCAAAACGTTTCGGGAATATCTTTATTTTACCGGCAACAAGTTTTGGAATTAATGCTTGTTTTAAAAATTGGAAAAAATTGATTGTGTTTTTTTAAATTTCTATGTTGTTTTTTTTTGTCTGGTAGTGCTATTTTTTACTTATGATTTATGAACAGTTTATTTCTGTTATTGCAGTGTTGGCAGACATATTGAATAATATATAAAGAAGATATTTTACAGAATATATTTGAATAAGTTAGTTTCCAGATTATGTGTTTCTGTCTTCCAGTTTTTACAAAGCATGAATCATTTTCTTATGTTTTCATATTTTATTTCCAGGTAAACAAGGGGTTTTGAAGATGGCGTGAGAGAACGATAAAAAAAAGCAACCCAAGAGCTACCTCTTTTTTCCATGTTTTGCCTTGATCATTTGAAACCCATATAACAAATATAACAGGGAAGAATTTTAATGTGGAGAAAACATGTTTTACAATGAACACCAGACTTGATATCATAGCTGTGTTCTATTATCATTATTATTATAAAGCTTCTGAGATGAAACAGATTGTGCCTTAAAGCCCTTGTGTGAACCTGATTGTGTCCATATGCAGGAGTGTGCATCGGAGCAATTTGATCTGCCTACCCAGACAACAGATAAACAAACCTAGCTTTGTTCACACAGCTGTAAAAATTATTTGAAATATTTTAATACACTAGAGGAAAATGTTAATATATATTTTAATCATCTGATTATTTGAAGGAAAATATTTACCATTTTCGAATTTCCTTGTCTTGGATTACCAAATTAGGTGCCAGCTTCCTGGAATAAATGTCAAAAGTAGATGAAAATGTGCAGAATATAAGAAATAACATGCCTCAGAAGAAATTTTATTGGTATTGAGGAAGATTGATGATCATGTTTTTTATGTTTTAAGCTCTTATGATAAATTGAGATGAACAAACTTGAATGGGAGTATTTTAGTGAATTTTTTATTGGTTTTGAAGAGAGGCTGCATCTTTGAAGTGTACATCTGTTATTCTATCAGTACAGATCAGCAGAATCCTATAAAGTTCCTGGATTTATTCTTAAGTTTGTGAAGTTTTTAGTGAAGTTGAAACTGTGTTTATTTTCAATTCTTACTACTCTTTATGAAACAAAACGGAAACCATACAGTTCAGATAAAGAAAGGCTAGTGTTTAAGTTAATGAAGTTGTCACATTGAACTTTATTGCTTGTTATTTTGGTAAGTTAATCTCTATCCTTTTGAATGTGAAAAAGTTAATTTCCTTTTATGAGTTGTGTAGCGTGTCAAATGATTGGATTGGAGTGTTATTATGTCGGAGGAATTAATCCCGCCATTTACTGGCCCTATGTCAAAAGAGACGGCTCAGTATAGGGCAAAACAAGCAGTGGAATATTATCATAAGCAGTTAAAAGGGCAGGCTAAGCCAGAATTACCGAAAAGACAAAATCGTGAAAGGGAGGAAAATGTAAATGATCATCGTGATAAAGTGAATGGATATCGCGTTCAATATGAGCATAACAAACATGTAAATGTTGATGGTCGCCACAGTGCACAAACACATTATGATCCACCACCAGAGCGATTTGTGCGTGGTGGCCAGCGTGCGACTGTACATGGAACAAATTCTGGCCGACAGTGGCAACAAAAATATAGCAATAATCATGTAGAAGTCCAAAACAAAAGTAACAATGCAAGAAATGTTGTACACCATGAGCATCGATCAGGTTCTAAAAAGAGATACAGTAGAGGGTTGCATCGCAGTAATAGCAACCTAGAAGAAAGTATGGATAACATAAATTTTGAAAATTTAGACACTTCAATGTCTTCTCGTAGAGAGTATGGAAGTACTTCATCATTAGATATGATGAATGCAAGCACAAGTAGTGATAGTTTCTTCCAGATGTTAGAAAATTTAAGACCTGAAAACACAGATCAGAGGAGCCCGGCTCCTTCAAAATTTAAGGAAGTTTTGAGAGGTTCTAAAGTGGAGGAGAAAAATAATAATGTATTTTTACGAAATTTAGAAACTATTGCCAATGGCTCTGTAATACATAACCGTCCTATGTCCGATGAGGTTGATGAAGGCGGTCAAAGTCCAAGAACTAAAGCAAAGTTTAAACAAAAGGATAGAAAATTAAGGTCTAAATCTATAACACCAGATGTTGGTCCTGGTGTTTGGAAACGTTTTAGGGGTAAAAATGAGACAGAAACAGGTATAAAATCTAGTGACTCAGTGCCTGATATTGAAGTTAAAGGGGATGACCGATTCCGGCGGAAAGCATTTGTTCATTATGATAGTCAAAGCATTGGATTTGATGTTAACAAAGTATTAAAATCTAAACCTTCATCCATTACTTTTTCAAACATATCAACTGGGGCCTCAGCTGCATCTGGTACGCGTGAAAGTTACGCTGGTGAAGCTGATGACCCAGATATCATTGCTAATACCGATGATGGTGACGGTCGGAGCAATGACCTTGTTCATTCATGTTCTTTTTTTCGCAATGAAATCGGTGGTGAGGAGGAGAGAATAATTGGATTAACACAAAGTACTGCCAATAAACTTGTGCAAAATGTGAAAGAAAAGGTTAAGAATCGAAGTGCAATATCAATGAATCGTTCGCCAGAATGTTGTGGAGTGACTATACTTGACTGTTCCCCAACTTCTGTCGGACATATCCTTCCACCTCACATCAAATACAAATGTCATGTCATAGAATATGTAGATACAGGTGCCTACTACTACAGACACTTCTTTAATAGTCAAGGTGAGCTTATGTTTAGTATTTTCAATACTTTATTAGTGCTTTTATACAGAACTTATGATCTTACATGTTAAAGATAATTGGACTGGGGCACTCTTTATAGAAACATACATAAAAGAAATGTTCTGATCTATATCATATATAGTAATAATTATACCACAAATACTGCAATTACATAATGAAGGTAATGTTTAGGTCAGTAAAAAGTGTAAAAAGAAATTATTTTTACATTTGTACTTAATAAAAGCGGGGAAAAATCTGTTACTGTAAAGTTAAACAAAAGCATCTTCATATTAATATTTTTGATGTTGTAGGTCCTTTGATGATATATTATATTATGTATATTTATAGTGCAAATTAATGACAACTTTGATGAATGTAATTTATGTGTATTATTTGACTCAACACAAACAGTATTCCCATTATAAAGGTGTTGAAGCCCGATATAATTAAAGATCACTTAAGTTATAGTAGTCTTGATATAAATTAACATTTTAGTATAACAGGAAAATCTTGTATAAAATGTAAACTTGTATATGATACAAGTAACAATATGGTAAATAGACCACACCTTAGTTAAACATGATCACTTAGTACTTTTAGTACTATTGTATGAAGGGTTTTCTATTCCATCTGAAGTGTAACAGATGTGCTTACTTAAAACAACCAATTTGGCCAGGGGTAAAGGGGGGGGGGGTATTTAAATCTTCAGGCTAAAAAGACAGTTTTAACAGCATTTAACTGATGATATGGATTGTCAATCTGTTAATAATGAAAACCCTGTGTACATGGAGTTAAATGAACATGTACCCTTGTCCGTAGGTTGAATTTAACGAAAAGAGGATCTTGAGAGAGGTATTGAATTTACTATGGTTGTATTGTATAACTTAACATTTGAACTTACATGTTTCATACATGAAATCTAACCTGAAATAATGTTATTTAAAAAAAAGTACCTGAAATATTATGTAGGTCTATTTTCTGTAGATTAAGCATTTTCAGATTCTTTCATGTGACAAACCTATCCAGGTTCCAGCTAGCTAAAATCATACAAATGTAATTACTTTGGAATTATGTGAGGATGCAAATAGAACTGGGGTTTAAATGGCAGATCAGTATAAAATTTTCCTTTCCACTTATGGTCCTAAAGATTTGCTGATCTTGTATTTGAAATCAGATTAAAGACATTAAGCTTTGAAATCTAGGATAAATTGTATTAGGGAGATCACAGCATAGTTGCATAAATCCTTTGTTAGATCTACACACTTAAATCTTATGTATGCTTGTTTACATTTGTGATTTGATTTGATGTGTGGCATTTTAACATTTACAATAAGCCTTTCCTACAGAATAACATTTTATATTCTTAATTTAACATTGATAACTGAAGTAATAGGAAGTGTTACTGTAAAATGAAGTGAAAGTAAATGGTTATATTTCAATCAAGAAAATAATGAGAAAGAATTAGTCGGTACCCCCAGGGTGGTTTTGTCTGTTTTCATTGTATTGAAATTGAAAACTGTAATTGTTAGTGGAAAGTCTTGTTGAAAGTTAACAATTGCAGCGATTAGAAAAATTAAACAGTTGTAAATAGACCAGTCAGTCCAAGGTTCTGATAGTGATTGAAGTAATTATTACTACTTTTAAAACTTTAAATGAACAAACTGTATTTAAATAAGATAGATGAGAATACTATTATGGTCATAAATGTTTCAACAACTCTCTAAAAAGTCCTTTGTGCCCCAGTAATTTTGAATCTCTTGTGTAGAAGTATTTGTAATCTTCATGTGTAATAATGCCAAGGAAGGTTTGTGATTTCTACCAAAATGAACATACATACATGCAGTATACAAAAGTCATGTCAGAATGTTTGAAATAATATATGGTTACAGTAGGGCATCAGACTGGAAAAAAAGTTTCCAATATGACATACTGATGTTCGTAAACAATGCAAATAGTGCAGTCACTGACATATATATATATCCATAACAGCTTTTTGTAGCCAAAATAAAATTAATAAAAAAGTAAAACATTACTAGCATAATTCAATTTAATAGTTGGGTTAGTAAAATTTCATTTGTCAATAAAAGAAGGTAGTTGCACAGAATACATTACAATGTATAACATGTTTGTTTCACCACTTTTAATCATTTACATTTGAATCAATTAGACCACCAAGAAATTTTGTGTTTGAAGAAGGAAAATATACATGTTATTGTATAATTAACAGCTTAGAAAGTTCTGGTTTTCAATGTATCAGTGAGTCTCCAACAGAAAGAGTTTTAACTTTTTTTATAGAATGACCCTCTGATTCATTAAATCTGGAACCTTTTCAATGATAATCTGCTTACCATCAGGATATAGACAAAGGTGGCAAATTTGAAGTAATTATTGGTCTATTTATTGCTTTTGAGAATTTCCATACAGGAAGGATTTGGCTTTGTTTCCTGTTCCACCCAGCCGCACAGTATGACCTGTCAGGAGTGTTTGAAATAAATATATACCTGCATCATTTCATTATTACTGAACAATATATCACACTGAGAGGTTTTATAGCTCCCACTGACAGATAAAGATACTTCCCATTTCATTTTACCATAGTTAATGTATAACTTATAGCTAGAAAATGCTCTTAAAACAGACATATTTCTGTCCACACTTCCCTGTTTTAAAATTCTTTCTGAACAATTTCTACTTCACTTAGACTTGTACTCAAGAGAGATACATGTACATGTTATAGCCTTAATTGACTTTTGTCTCTTACATAGGTCCTAGGGGTCGGGCCAATGTTTAATTATAAGTTTATAACATGTTTTCCAATCCAGTCTGAATTTCTTGTTCTGAAGTGTTTGTAAAATTAATGTTGTTTTATGTACAATTTATTTAATAAATAAAGTTTAAACTTAATTATTGATTAATTAGTTGAATGTGATGCTGATTGTAAGTCCATGAAGCCTACGACCACATCATGTTTGTGTTACTGAAAATACAAGCCCATTTCACCCATTCAGTTTTTCAAAATTTTCTTATTGAACAGTCAAACGAAGGAGATACAGAATAAAAGAATTGAAAAAAAAAATGTTTTAATAATATTAGCAAAAATCAATTTATGAATGTCTGTAGATAATTGTTGTAAATTCTTATTGAACAAACACTGTTAATTATTGAAATTTGACTGATGTCCAGTCCATTAATAATATTTCATATTTCTTTCAATAAAATAAATGCTTACAGATTATTAGTATGTTTCTTGTTTACCTAGGTTGTTTTTGTCCTGCAGATATTTAAAATTTGATACGATATTTGTTTACATCCTCATTACTTTTACCAAGACAAATACCATATAATGTTAAGTGTCTGCATTTGATTCCAGACATGCATAATTGTAATTGATCATTTCATTTTATTGATTGTGTCATACTTTACAAGCATGTCATGCTGTTGTGAACAGTGTATAACAGGAATTCCTACTTTTGATTTATTTTAATAACAGTCTTTGGTTACAATGTACCTGATGTCTTATCGGATAATGAAGATTATGATTCAGTAAATAAGCCTCGAACTTTAGATTCTTTCCTGTTTTAGAAAAGAGCCCATATAGAAAGAATATAGAGGATATTGAATGAGTGTAAGTTCAATACTGAATTTATTGCACGAGTTGAATAAATTATATTATGCGAGCCTCTGGCGAGCATAATATTATTTTATTCAACGAGTGCAATAAATTCAGTAATGAACTTACACGAATTTAATATTCTATTTATCACATACCCAAAATAAAGACCGTTTAAAGTGAAAAAAGAGTCATTTTTCATTGACGCGCCTATAGTATAACGCTAACATTTAGCGCGTCTTTACACTATGTTTGTATAACGCTAATGACGTCACGTCAAAATATATGCACGGCCGTGCAATACCATTTTTACGGAGTCGCAAAATCGGCACGGGTGTGTGATAAAAAATTAATATTTCATACTGGGAGCATTAACTATAAGACATTTATGCACTGAAGTCTTTGTGTATAGTCTTTGTGTATAGGGGATTGATCCTCCTCTTGCATAAATAAAGGTTTTAAAACACAGCCACTGCTGTTAGCTTCTTGAATGGAAGTTGAAATAAATACTGAATTGTCTCTAGCTGCCACAAGTATTATGACTGGCCAGTCTTCACTTCAAGGTCATGCAACAGTTTTAAATATTGCGAGAGGAGTCTGAACTGTTCCAAATTTATAGACAGGATTGAGAAAGTCCATCACACAAAATCAACTTGGTTATGGTAAACTACATAAGTTTTGAATATCAATGATTTTAGTAACATATGCAACTATCTTTTTTGAAATATGGAAGCTTGAGGTTGTCCTATCAATTTGTCGGCTTATGTCTGAAATTATTCATTAAAGAGAAAAAAAAGATTTTCTTCTGCTTCAAAGACTTGTCTGTTTAAGTTCTGGCCAAATGATATTAAATTAAAAGTATTTGTAACAATTTGTTGAAACCTCGTGCATATCTTCTCTATTAAAATTGTTGGTTTACATTTTTTTTGTATGTCTAAGACTCTTAACTCGAGCTTAGCATCATGCATCAATATTATGTGATCATAGAAAATTCCTGCATGATTGTTGCATTTAATGATTTATATCAAGCTGGACACATGGACACTGTCTATCTTGCAACTCAAGATTGCAGCTGATGCAAATAGATACTAAACAGTAGATTTAAGGTCATAAACCTGAAATTTACTATCTGTGATGTGTCCTTTATTTACTTCCATTCTGAGATACTGGGCTATTATCTACTTTTAATGTGTGATTTACAGTAAGCACACTGCTGAGGTCACTCACTAATGGCAATAACTGATTGTCACAACTTGTCACAGCAGGTCCATTATCTAAAGTGAATAAGTTTGTTTTTATCTCTTTAATTGATGTATCTGTAACATTGGTGTGGTCTTAACATGGTTTTTGTTATCCCCGCAACCTTGTTTAGAAAACATGTCAGCTGTTTATTTGTTCAGTTTACCCCTTGCTGTAAAATGATTGAAATAGCTAACAAATTACATAACAAATACTTGGCAAAGTAAGGAAGAGAAATACTCTTTGTTATTGGAGATAAAACATAGACACACCTTACATGTTGCCTTTTGACATTTTGTCTTATCAATAGTTTTCTAGCTTAAATATTGACAGGTTCTTGGCAAAATAGTGAGTTCACAAGGGATGCCTAAACTATGTGATAACATACAACAATATTGTGAGAAAATACAATTTACTGGTAGGAAAATACATATTTTTCATAACAAAGATACAACAGGCAGAGATCTGCCAAGAATTTGAAAGTACTGGGCCCTGGGCCCACTTGGTCTGAAAATGATGGGCCATTTTTACCAAAGTATGGGCCTTGGGAAAATAAATAAACATTGACCAAAATAACTGTTAAAAAGTTTGTAGATAATTGAATTTCCCTGGTAATTAAACTTAAATCATATTTTATGACAAGTATTAAATACACTTATAATTCAGTACTTAACCAATAATTAAAAATTATGCCTACATGGTAACTTTCAAACTAATAGTAATTGCAGGCAAACTATTTTTTTAAATGGCTGCTCAAAAATTTGATATGCAAATTAATTCACATAATTGCTGGTTCTTACTTGTAATGTCTTATATTGTGCATTATCCATTTAATTGTTCCTACTTAGCAGCAAATGTCCCTTACCACTGTATATTGACGAATTTTATTGCCCCTTGTATGCCTCTGTGTAGACAGCATACATCAAAGACATTTGCCGACAGACCTTTTGATCATGAAAAAAGTCATGCACAATGTTTCTCTGATTGGTTAATCACCCTGTCAAATATTCTGATGAGGAAATATACATCTTTTTTTACACTTCATCAGCCAAAACTTGTGTGAACTTGAGTGACCTTAGGGTTGATCAAATTGAACACCTGTCAGATTATACTGTAACTTACAGCATTTCTTAAAATAGCAACACTTTTTTTTCAGTTACCGATAATCATTTTAAATATTAAGTACAGTAGTTGTATAATTTGTTTGTTTGTTTTATTGGATTAAATTTACGGTAGTAGAAATGAGTATCTGTGTGGGAAAGGGATTATGAGAAAAATTGCGGTAAGTAGATAACATGGACAAAAGCTATAGGGGAATGGATAAACTCAAGAATATGAGTAATTACAGCAGCATGGGTAACATGTTGCTTTTGGTACCAGTTTTGACTGGATGACTAAATAACCCAGCAGACAGTTTTGTTTTCTTATAAGTCTGGCACAGATTTTAGATGCGCCCATGGCCCTTTGCTGCCGATTTTCCTGCGCCATTCTCATTTTTTTAGCGCCAATGGCGCAAAATCGCGTCCTCGGCAGATCTCTGAACAGGGATTCTTACTTCAAAGTCCCTTATCAATGTTGTTAGAGCTGGAATTGTTTTTTGCTAGCTTTGGTTTCAAAACATATGAGGTCCAAAAGTTAATAATTTTCACTAAAGGAAAGTTGGATACATCCAGCTGAAGTAGAGAATGTATCATTACCTCTATTGTATGAGTTACAATAGGCATGGTTTTGGAGAGTTATATAATCTGAAAAAGGATTTGAAAAAGTCGAATTTTACTTGAAACCTTGAAATATACATTATACCTTATTAATGTCAATAATGATGTCAATTTTAGTCCTGCACACTCAAAAAATGAGCCAATGTTTTAGCAACCTTCTGTCTTAAGGCTTCTACACTGCTGGACCAATGAGATGGGGATTTTTTGGGAGATAAGTCATAACTATATTCAGCTGGTAGTGGAAGAGGCACATGCTACTTCAAAACTTATAAGATAAAAATTGAGTTTCATTTTTGTTGAGTTAGTCATTACTTCACTAAGTTTTAACAAACACTAAAATCTCCAACTTCAGAAAAATGTTGAAGCTGTACCAAATTGTAATGTGATACTGAAATAAAAGCTGTTATATGATTCATTTGACATGGTCCATTTACAAAAAGTGTTCAATTAAACCTATGTAAAAAAATCATTCAAGATATTTATGAGCTTTTGTATAATGAACAGTTTAAAGCTTGAGGCATATGCTTTGCTAAACCCAACTGACATGTAACTAAGATTCAGAAAATTTAATGACAAAAATGTATTCAAATTATATTTACACTTTATTTACTTTCACTTTGATGTTACTGTATGAGATATTGATCTTTTGCCATAAACATGACATAAATCAGTAGATTACCACTGTGGTAACAAGCTTACAGCCTGATTATAATGATATAATAAAAAAGAAAATAAAGTAATCTGACCCTTTCATCTTTCATTGTTCTCTCTACTCTGACCCTGCAGATGTTTTTGTTCAGACTTTGTTGTTAGGTCAAGATCGCAATTAACTGATAGGGTTACTTTGCACCAATATTGATAGGTCAAAGTGCACCAGTTATTTTATCAAGATATAATGATATCAGATAGTTACGATGCTTCTCAAAATGTCATTGATACACTAAATTTTAATTGATAAATATTTAAAGGGACTGCACTGAGGTTTTTAGGCATGACAGACTGGGGAAAAAAAAACTCCGAGATTTGTAGACCATTGGATTTGGTCTGAACCAATAATTGCAAAATTCATATTTTGAGATCATTCCCCCACCTCTTTATTTCCACCAGTATCATTGTATATTCATGTTTATTGTGCAAAATAACCCCAAAAATGGATTTTTCTCACTCATATTTGGGTAAGAATCTCGCAAAAATCAAATTGTTAGTGTATTTCTTTATTTTTTTCCATTTTAAGTGTTTTGCTAGATGTAAAAATTCCAAATTTTATATTTTTGGGCTTCTTTACCTAAATTGAGTTCCTTTAATTGCTAAGGAACATACATGTACTTTATTAATTAGTTTGTAAAGTAATGGTGTTCACTTGATCTGACCTGATATTTTGGTACTTCAGTTATAAATTTGTAAAATGAGGACCACCAATAGTATTAGAATTTAGACCTACATGTACTACAATGACTTTTAATCTATAGGGCATGGTTTATTAAATGTATGATTGACATGCCTGTGCACAGGGACCACCTGTTACAGCTGTCAAGAAGTGGATGTGTTTAAATCTTGTAATTAAAATATTGTATGGAGTGAATTAGCCTCACAGATAGGCCTATCTATAAACCTCTCAGAGCTAGCTGCTTTATAAGCAAAGACCACCAACATTTCCATTACAGCAATTATCCTACCATGAAACATAAGTAAAACCCAAAACAAACAATGAAAGGATGATGTTGTAAAGTTAGATCAACTATTGTTATGAATGTAAGAAATTGGAGAGACTTGGTCTGTAATTGAAGGTAATTTGATTATATGTATTGTATGTTTTCAGACCATCAGAATTACTTTGGTGTAGACGACAATCTTGGTCCATTAGCTGTCAGTATAAAACGTGAAAAGCTAGAAGAGCGAGAGAATCATCTTGGTAAATGCGAGGCCGGGCTCTATCAATACAGAGTTATTCTACGAACAAGCGAGGTGTGTATTTAAGTACATTTTGTATAATAATATGCATAAAGACAATTGTTATTGCACTGAATGTTTAAGACAATGACACATGTCTGTTCATTGGTCTTTGATGAGACAATTAGACAAAGATACATGACATTGTAGTCCATTGATACAAATTACTGAAACGAATGAATTTTGTAGGGTTATGCTGCTTCTTCAGGGAATACTGTGTTTGATCTTTTTGTGCCAATCGACTGTAAAAAACAAGTTCCGTTCTTGTTATGTTAAATGATAAGACCAGGACACCCTTCACATGTCCCTTTAGTATAAGTCATGCATATCCAGTCAGTAACTGTACTTTGATATTGAAGGAAAAGGTGCCCTGCTATTCTGTTTGATACTTAAAACCTTAAAATTAAGTCTGTTATACAACTTCATCAGGGTTTGGCTTGAGCAGATATTTAACTCGAATTAAGAGTGTAGGTTTTTTTTAGCCAACTTCTAGTTTATCTAAACAATCAAAACAAAAATGCTGAAACATGAAGAATTTAATCATGATACAAATTTGTTGAAAAAAAAAAAACCTACCTTGAAATTTAGAAAAAAGTGTTTGCTTGTTGAAACAAGGCATCCTGTAAATGCATCAGAAACGTCTGTAAGTTATTTATAGCCAATATAGCACATGTGCTTGTCAATTAATGGGGAAAACGAGCATGTAATTAACAAAACACATGCAGGAAGTGCAGTTTGTTCACTGCTAATCGCTAATTTGTGCATTACTTGTTACAAGGCTAGACAAATTGTTAGTCATTGAGGCAATTTGGCGATGTTATCTTATTTTTGTATGTGGAAATAATAGGCAAATGAGGCTTATTTCAAATCTGAATTGATATAATCAGTATTTTATAGGAAACCTGAGCATTTTATAGAAATATAACTTAAAATGCAATGTGAATGATGAAAATTCAGAAACATTTATAAAAGAGAGCAAAAAACATGTAATACAAAAAGCAAAAGGAGACAGTAGGTATTTAAACTATGCCATTCATGTCTGATTTAGTGGTGACAAAGGTCGCCCCCCTAGAGAAATCAAGTGCCTTGTTAACTGACCGAGACAGTTTAATATAAAAGCCAGGATATGGTATAAAAAGGCCATATGGCCAAGGACGAAATTAATGACTTTTACAATGTAATTAAGTGGGTATGATAAAATGGTCCACCATTAAAGGAATGTGTTCTGTTTATGGTACACCAGGGGGTTTTGTTCAGTGTTAGGTTAGGAAAAAATTTCATTAATCATACATGATTGCCTCCCTCAATGCTTGATCAACTCATTTGCAAGTGAAAATTTAAAAGTTCAGTATCTGGTCATGAATTGGTGAAAGATTTGCTCTCTTGATTTGAATTTTACATTTTAAAAGTGATTTTATTATAATCCTCTCATTGCTGATATGAATAATAGAATATACTTGTTATGATTCAAATTTTTAAACCACATATTTTTAATGTTTGGATTTAAGATAGGTTGAATAGTTTAAACAATATAGAGCCTGGCCAGACTGCATTAAATTGCTGTATACTAGAGATTTTCTTTAAGATAAAATATTTTACTTTTTACAAGGAAAGGAGAGAAAAACTAATTTAAGTATCTGAGCTGATTTGAAATTAGGCAACTTGTTTATTAAATAATGCAATGTATTCTAGGTCTAAGTTTAAATATGACACTCCGGCAGGCTAGTTCAGTTTTTATGATCTCACCAGCAATTTATGTCAGCAATGAAACGCTAAATGTGAGATAACATTCTTTATTGGAGGTTATTTTAAAGCCTGATGACATTCTATTTATAGACATACATATGTCTATCGTGCAATTAATATACTTAATGAACAAAGTAAGAGATGAACAAAGGAAGAGATGCGGATAATTAAAAGCCTTAAAGGCATAACTTTTAGTAATTAATCTATTATGCATAGAGCTTCTTGATTTCTGAAACTTAACATTTTTATCTTTTCATTAGGAAAAAAAACAAACAAAAAAAACCCCCTCCTTTTGCTTGTTTATTGCCTTGCCTTACAAAGTTTGTGATACTTTCTTGAAGTTATTGTCTTGGTGTGCTGGCTGCAACTGATTTTTTCTACCCATGTGACCAGTGCAGACCATGATAAGCTGGCAAGTGTGTGTCGTTAATACTAAAATTGCTGTCATTTACTATTCTTTGAAATTAAAGGTATAGGTATCTGATAATAGACTTACTCTGGAATTAAGAATATTTTTGGTTTTCCCAGCTAATCCAGGGGATACAAACAAACTTTTGCAATTACAGCTTTCGTAAATAAGTACAAAAGGTTGACTAACCTATTGTGAACTACAGAGCACCATATAGTTACAACAGTAAAAGATTATTTGGACCAGGGGATAAGCCTGGTAAAACCTGTATTTGCCAAGTTCTAGGTACAACTATTGACAATGAAAGTATTATGCAATATTGTTCATACAAGTTCTTTCTTTGCTTTAGAAATTTAATAACTGTTTCTTTATTTCTGCAGCTGACCACTTTACGAGGAGCAGTTTTAGAAGATGCTATTCCAGCTTCAGGACGCCTCAGCAGCTCGCGTGGTGTACCAGTCAAAGACCTGCTTGAGTTTCTGGTACCCGAGGTTCAAGCCTCATGTCTACGTCAAGCTACTGCTGGCCAGAAAACCTGTGATCAGATAATGAAAGTTGATGAACAAAGAGTGAGTGGTCATTTGTTTAAAGTTTTGATGATGACATGTTTTTAATTAAACACTTATGTATGTATTGATAATGTAATGAGTTTTCAAGGCAACTCAATAGTTATTCTGTAAGTTCATTGAGTTTAAGATTGTTGGACTGAGCCCTGTTTATTATTAACAACTTGAAATGATCTTGCTTGCCTGCTGAGTCAGTGTCAGAATTGTATATCAATTCATCCCTGAACATTACCCTGCCTTCCTTGCATTTCAATAGGTGACAATGTTATTAACTGACTAGCATTGGCATTTGTACTCTGCATGATAATCTGCATTGTTTTATGATATTCATGGCATCGGTGCATATTCCCTTTGCCTATTTTCTCAAAATAAACATTAATAAGGAGGTTAATGTTTTAAACCTGTTAAGATCATAAATTTGCACACATTTTATGTCTCTTAACATGTTGTAAACGAATTTAGCAACCGCAATTTGTTAAAACACCTTCAGGCTTAATGCTACATGTTCATGTCACATGTATAGATGCACATTAATTTGACAAGTGTTCTCCATGTCATTTAAAAAGGGAATAACAATATTATATACATCTTAACTACTTTTAGAACTAAGTTGCATTGAGGATAAGTACCTCTTATTGCTAATTCATGCTTTTTTGTATTGACCAAACAGTATGATACAGTCATATATGTCATGTAAAATATAGTGTATTCAAGACACTATAATCTTGAGATGTCCCCCACTTTTCATATTCAACTCAATATGGCTAAAAGATTTATCTCCCTTTGAATTAACTTTCAATATAAATTTTTCTGCTTTCAGATTTTCAGCACTTATAAAGTGGGCATTTTATATTGCAAGGCAGGTCAAACAACTGAAGAAGAAATGTATAATAATGGTAAGTAACAGAATGTGTGTAATTCATGCAACAAAATAGGGTATTTCAATATATTTGTTGTATAAATCACTTTGAAAGACTCTATTTGAAATCCTAATGAATAAACCAATTTGCTCATATTCTAAAGAATTCCAATAGGTTCTTTACAGTTGACTGAAGAAGATATATCTTTCCTTCATTAATTAAAGACTTTAAATTATATGGACTTTTCAAGTATAAGTTATCATTTTAAATTTACATCTTACCTTGTTAATTTTAAGTAATGGTCTATCTTTGGCTTTTATGTGGTACTACTTACTGATCTTTGTTAGTTTGACAGGTATTGATTTAAATTAAAAAGTCAGTATAGAGCCTGGTATGATTGCATAGATTGTACAGCGATAAATGCATACAAGTTAAGTTAAACCATCACTTACATTACTTTTAATCTCATTTATTGTATATATTGTGTTTTATAGAACATTCAAGTCCAGCATTTGAAGAATTTCTACATTGTATTGGTGATAAGGTTAGATTAAAAGGTTTTGAGAAATACAGAGCTCAGCTTGACAATAAAAGTAAGTTGTTTAATATTTCATCCTTTGAAAAGAAAAAAAGATTAAACAAAATTGCAGTAACCTGGAATAACACAGTCAATATACAAAGTAAAATCTGTTGGTAAAAAAAAATATGTGTCCAATCCTGTTTTATTGGTACCAAGGTCAACAAAAATATTTTATATGTTATATTAGTCACAGAAATGCTATGAAACTATTTGATTTAGTTGAATTAGTTAAGTTCGGTTAAATTAGAAGCTTATTTTATCCGAGTATTGTATTTTATATTTGAAAGATTTACACTTGAAGTTGTTACTTGTCTTTCGTTTGTCTTTGTAACTTAAAGCCCAAAACAATTTTTATTAATACCTGATCCTTTAATCTTACACGTAGAGCTTTTTTATGTAATGATTATCTATATTTGGATCTTGTAATATTTCAGCGGATTCCACGGGTACTCATTCTATTTATACTACATTCAACAACTCAGAAATCATGTTCCATGTATCCACCATGCTTCCACATACACCTAAAAATCATCAACAGGTATGTTCATTTATAAACATAAATAAAATCATATTCATCTTATAAAATTGTTTTTCGAAATGTTGATGTACTAGTTTAAAGATAAAAGATCTCCAAAAAGATTCCATTCAGAAATAGTATTGCGCAGGTTTATAATTACATTGTAGTGGATTTGTTTAAAGCAGCCTTCATCTTTTATTTTTTTGTTGGAAAAACAGTTCTGTGTTGTTTCAAACTTAGTATTTCAATAATTTTATCTTTGTAAAGTGCATCATATCACTGTTAAGCCTTATTCAAAAAATCCCAAGAGCTATTAATATGGCGCCAGTAATGTTCATTTCTAAAAATAGAAGATGGGGAAACAAATTGTCTGCTTTACTAATTACCTAATTTACATATAGAGAGTAGAGCAGTAGATTAGAGTTATCGAGGGGTTTCTTTATTGTTTTATGTATTTTATTGATGGCAAATTTCATTTTCCACTATAATTCTTTTGATTTGAAATTTTATGGAACAATTTATCTAAAAATAACATATTAAACCTTTAGAAAAGCTGATGGTCGCTTTAACCTGAACAGAAGTTATTCAAATGAACATAGAGTTGTGTGTATCATCTCCTAAATAATATATGTTATTATATTACAGTTATTACGCAAGCGTCACATTGGTAATGATATTGTAACAATAGTATTTCAAGAGCCAGGTGCTCCACCCTTCACACCAAAGTCAGTGCGGTCACAGTTTCAACATGTGTTCATCATTGTACGAGCCCATAATCCATGTACAGATAAAACTACATACAGGTAACAACGTCTTCCTTCATGTTATATAATACTAGATTCTCACTGACTTTGAAATGGATATATATCATATCATTTTCTTTATGTCACACACAAAGACAGTAGTTTTATATGATGATATTGTGAACAGAAATAGTACTTTCTTCCAAGATTGTGGAAATATTTCCGATCAGTTATGAATAATGCTCAGGTAAGAAAAAACTGAAAAAGTTTTTCTTTTGTATGGATAAATCTCTTAAGCATTTACAATACACTGTTAAGTAACTTATAGCATTAACTTAAACTACATAAATATGTAAAAAAAGTGAAAAGTGATTTTCTCTTTATTACCTCCCTTTCTTTAGTTGTCTTTTTGTTGTTGAGTAAACGCATTATTTACAGTTTGTTTTCTATACATTGAAGGCTTCGAATAAAGCAATTAAGCAATTCAAATATTCTTTTTCTACTGTTCAGCATAAATATAATAATTGAATTGTATTAATTTTCATTGCGTGTACATACCCATCATTGTATGTTTTAATATTTCAGTATTGCAGTCAGCAGATCAAAAGATGTGCCACCATTTGGTCCCACTATCCCAGAGAATGCTAAATTTTACAAGTCAAGAGAATTTGCTGAATTTCTTCTTGCTAAAGGTGAAAAATTAAGACACATTGAATAACAAATATGATAAAACAAAATTTAAACAATAATCTTAAATGTTCCTGTGTGAGATTTTGGTGTGAGGTTTGTTTAAATTATACCATGCATGATTGTTCCAAATATTGTATTCTTTTACAACTTGAAGAAAAATATAAAAGAGTATACTTTAAGAAGATAGACAAATTTGGCTCACAATTGAATTTTTGATATACAGCACTTACTTACAATTCATGGAAATCATTTAAAAAATCAAAATATTCAAAATAGCACTTACTGTATGTTAGTCATGCAGTAGAAATATGGTAATAGATACTGCAAAATGAGCCATTATTGGCACATAACATGTAAATTATTACTTGAATCTTGAATGGTATTACTGTTCTTTAAATCTAAGTACATTTTACTCAAGCTGGATTTTCTTGAAGTATTTTGGCTTATCTGGAGGCATGCAGCTTCAACAGTAAAAAAAAAAGGATCACTTTTCACTGACATGCTCGTAGTGTAAGGCAAACATTTAGCATGTCTTTATTCTACAGTATGTCTGTATGATGCAAATGATATCACGTCAGAATATGTGCACAGCAGTGCAATATCATTATTATGTAGTCATAAAAGTGTTACAGGTATGTGGTAAATGATATAACTCAGTCTGCTGTTTGGAAAACTTAAATAATACAAGATTTACATTAACTTTGCATTGCACATTTTTACCAAAGTGTTTCTATATAAATATATGAATGGTGTTAATATTGATGGTGTTATATTGTTTTCAGTTATTAATGGTGAGAATGCAGCCCATCATTCAGAGAAGTTTGCTGCTATGGCATTACGTACAAGACAAGAATACCTCAAAGATTTAGCTACTAACTATGTTACCAGTAACTCCCTCGAATCTGCTTCCAAACTAAGTATGTTGTACAACCCTTAATCTTGAATCGGTTGAAACAATGTTTTATTAAATATGAATATTCATATATATTTTGAAATGATGTCAGTGCCTTTTTATACTCCCACCACAAAATGTGGGGGGGGGGGGGGCTATAATGTATTCGCTTTGTCACGTAGTCGCCTCCGTGGTCGAGGGGTTAGAGTCAATGACTTCTAATCCAGTTACCTCTGGCGTGGGTTTGATCCCCGGGAGATGCTTTGGTAGTTTAGCGCGGAGGGAGGTAGTCAAGTACTGGTGTAACTCTCCAGGAACGATGGTTAGGAAACTACCCGCCTATATGACTGAAATACTGTTGGAAAAAGGCGTATATAAAACAAACAAACAAAAGCTTTGTCACATTGGTCGGTCCGTCCGTCTCCATTTTCGTGTCCGCTCTATAGATCCTATACCTATTGAAGAATTTTCTTCAAACTTGGCTCAAATGTTCACCTCAACAAGGGGATGTGCAGAACCCATGTTGCCCATGTGTCAGGTCAAGGTCACAATTGAAGGTCAAATATTAAGCACAATCAAATATTACACAGTATGTTGTGTCCGCTCTGTAAGTCCTTCACTAATTGAAAGATTTTCTTCAATCTTTGCTCAAATGTTCACCTCAACAAGGGGATGTGCAGAACCCATGTCACCCTTTTGCCAGCTGAAGGTCAAAGAAGGTCAAAAATTGACTTAGAAAATATTCTTAAATTTTAACATGTATTTGAATATTTCTGAAACTAGAAAAGGTATTTGCTTGAAACTTAAAATATATATGAAGTGTCACAATAAAGATATGCTGGTCAAGTTTCATAACTCTGTATTGCATTTTGTCAAAGTTATGCCCCTTTTTAAGTCTTTAAATTTACATACAATCAATACTTACTAGACAATATGCCGTGTCCGCTCTATAAATTCTATTTTTATGGAAGAATTTTCTTCAAACTACTCAAACATTTACCTCAACAAGGTTATGTGCAGAATCCATGTCACCTTTGTGCCGGGTAAAGGTCAAGGTCACACTTGAAGGTCAAAAATTGGCTAAAAAAAATGTTCTTAAATTTTAACATGTACTTGAATATTTCTGCAACTAGCACAGGTATTTGCTTGAAACTTAAAAGATATATGAGGTGTCACAAATAAGATATGCAGGTCAAGTTTTATAACTCTGTATTGCATTTTGACAAAGTTATGCCTTTTTTTAAGTCTTAAAATTTACATACAATCAATACTAGACAATATGCCGTGTCCGCTCTATAAATTATTTACTAATGGAAGGATTTTCTTCAAACTTGACTCAAATGTTCACCCCAACTGGGCAATGTGCAGAAGCCATCTTATCCTTGTGCCAGCTTAAGGTAAAGGCCACACTTGAAGGTCAAAAATTGACTTATAAAATGTTTAGTACATTGGGAAAATGAAAGGTTATTTGTAACTCTGTTTCGAACATGATTTGATAATATATATTTATACTATTACCTGTACAATTAGTCTTTTTTCACCAGAGATAATTTCTTTTTATGTATTTGTGCCACTAAAGTGTTTCCCTTAACCACCTTTCCAAGTCGTCTTCTGTCAAGGACATTGGTGGGGGTATGAATCGCATTCAGCGATAGTTCTAGTTAAGAAACTGTCATGAAAATTCCATATGAGAAAACCAACTACTAGAATAAAATTACACTTATCCCCTAAGTTTTCATGTTATTATAATGTTATGTTGATATCGTGTTATGTTATGACATATTAAATTATTAAATGATTGTTTCATAAACAGGTAAATTTGTGAGTGGTAAGAAGAAAGAGAAGAACAGAGGAAAACTGATACCAGATAACTTTGCTCTTGGTGCTATTGTCTGGCATGTTGAGGTAAGAACTAGATTTTTATCATTGAATAATCATTCGATTTTTCTTTAAAAGTTGTTTGATACCTATATCAAAATATGACTTACTGTGTGTAAACGTTGTGAAGTATTTTTGTTCGCAAACGTAGAGAACTTGATTGATAGTTGTATAAAAAGTTGTCATTGTTTTATATACAGTTTATGAATTTCAAACAGTTATGTTAATGTTAGTTGATTAGAACATTTTGTAAAGTCATTAGGTAACTTTTAGAACTTCAGTACTGGTAAGTGAGGAATACTTGTGCATGAGAAATGCAATGGAAAATAACTACAGTTTCATTATTTGTCCATTTCCTTCAATTATAAATATTTTTGTACTAATTAGTTTGGTTCAGTGTGTTAATTTTGGTTGGGCTTATAAAGGTCCTATAGTAAATTTCCAGGTTTTCTGGGAGAGGAAGCTACAAATTCCCCTTGTTCATCAGAATCAGTCATTTGTGTAGAACCATCAACCTTGCATAAATAGCTGCCTCAGATAGAATAACCTGAATATAAAATCACTGCACTGATGGGAAGGTAATTTGAAGTCTGTGACTTTGACCTCCTGACCATACAACCCCTTATATAACACGGTATCTTTCTCATATGTATATGCAAGTGCATGAAGAAATTAGAACACTGTAAGATTGTATATTTCACATTTTAGGTAGAGGATAGTGGTAGAAGTACACCATGTTATCTCGGTATAGCAGCAGAAACTATAGTTGTAGTAGAAGAGGCTGGTAGAGATGTGATATTTACCACACACTGTGGATCTGTGATAGGCTGGACCTCACAATCTCTCAGGTATAGTTTTCAAACTCTTCATTTTACAAATTAATTTTTAAGTTTTTATAGAGAATATGAATATGCTGATATAACTTTGTATGTCGTAGGTTCCTTGTATAGGACAATGAATTTGATTTGCTTTGTCCCTACTGTGAACAATACTACAATTTCTTCCAACAAGACATGAATTACTAAACTGTTTTGTATTGAAATTACTTAAGTATAAAGGTACTTCATATCAAAAATTAACTGGCAACCATCAGCTGAATTATTTTATGGAAATTACATAAAGCATAAAACTTAAAATTTGCTTGTGTCTGCGGTGAACACATTATTATAATAGTTTAATTGCACTATCAATATGTTGTTGTTTCAGTTTGAAGCTATATTACCAGCAAGGGGAATGTTTAGCATTGAAACCAGTGAGTGGAGATATGGAGGAACTACAGGAGATTGTCATTCGTCTTAGGGCAGTCACCTTTGGTTGTGAGGTACTTGTCATTTCTCTGTTCATTTTCCTCTAAATTAACACAAATAATTAATCATTTTGTTCCATTACAAACTATAATTATATTGGAAAAATAAATTTGCTTATGTTGTTAATAAGGGCAAAATAAAGGCTATATTGATTATGGAGAAAGGTGGCACAGGAATAAATTCACTGGCATGAAAAATGTACAAGTCTTTTAGTATTTAGTTTAAACATATTTTATTTCTCAGAATATATGTACATGTTATAATTCACAATATACAGAGAGCAATTCAAATATTCTTAAAAAACAGGATTAGAATGAAAGACAGCATGTCTTATGAAATTCTTCTCCTTTTAGTATTTCCTTAATAAAGAAGTTCTACTTGGATAAAAAGCCTTAATACTTAGTATATTTGAAATCTATAACACAAGGTGAAAAACACTGAAATAAGATTATGTTTTAAAGTGATTAATAGTTTGTTCAATAGACGATCATTTTAAATCATATAGCCCACTGCTTTAGGTTCGAATCCTGTCAAAAACTTCATAGGAAGCTATCCAGCTAACTGAGGTTGGGTTGTTTTGTTATATACTCACACACACCACACACACCTGAACTAATTCACAGAGGGACACTTAAGGTCATTCTCCATCAGCAAATCTTGAAAGTCACAGTCTTGATAAGATCAGAAATTCAATGAAGAAAAACAAATGTATAATGATTATTATGTTCAATGAACATATACCATATGCTGGATATGTTTTCAGACGGAAGAACTTAGTTTGAAGAGAAATGGTCTCGGACAACTTGGGTTTCATATACAAGCTGAGGGCATTGTCACGGATGTAGAAAATTATGGGTTTGCCTATGGGGCTGGTTTACGGAAAGGAAGCCGATTGGTGGAGATATGCAAGGTTGCCACGGTTACGCTGACACATGATGAGATGGTAGATCTGCTGCGCACATCCGCTACAGTTAAAGTTGTTGTGATACCTCCATTAAAGGACGGGGGCCCGAGGTAAATTATACACTATGTCCTCCTGTATACTAATTAGTTTTCTTCTTTCATTAAAAAGCTATAGTCAAGATGATCATAATGATTCCATTTGAGTTGAGTGCATGGCTCAATTGTATGAGTTACTATTGACGAAAAGTATATTAATCTACCATTTTAACAGGTAGAAAATTCTCATATTGGCTGAGTGAAAATTATATGAAAATGAACAAAATATTATCGGATTTTGAAACATTGAGTCATGCATTGAAAAACACTATTGCTAAATAATTTTTGAATTGCTAGAATAGTTATGAAATATTTTAACCTGAAACAGCTTTGAAAATGTCATGTGTATATCTTTATAAATTTTCTTCAAATTATATTTAATATAACCTTTAATTATTTATGAATTAAAAAGTATGACAGATCTTTTTTCCTTTTATATTTCATATAATAAGCATGCTGAACTGCTGAAATTCTTGCTTAGCAATGAAAAATACTTTCTCATCTTATGCCATGCACTAAATTGGTTCAAAATCAAGTTCAAATAACACATGTTTTTCAATATTGTCGTTTGCATGATAATATTTTAGATATAGAATATTTTTGGCTAAAAGTTTTACATAGTTTTTACTCATACAAGGAAGATGGTGTCCTTACTTGAAATAAGTTTGAAATATTACATTGACTTGCACAGTTAAACTGGTGTACTAGTATATAATTAGAGGGCCAAATACTCCTGTATTATAGAGCCAGACCAGCCTGCACAGTTTTACTGTTTTGAAAGACTATATAGACTGTTGACTGACCAATTTTAGTATATTGTAAGGGTATTGCAATTCCCAGAGCCAGCAATAGACAATTCTGAATTTTAAGCTGGGCAAGGCTTTCTATACAAATAAAGCAGTGGAATGGTTAAAAGTAATTACTCACCAAAACTTGGTTACCAAGTGGGTTTAAGATAATGAGATATAATTCTGATGTTTTCTTTTTATTGAATCTCGAAATTAATATACCTACAGTAAAATTCTGCCAAACTGTGTAAGTCAATGTGATTCTAATGATATTCATGTCTTTAAATATTGATCTATCTTTAATTGAAGTCTTTAAAGAAATTGATGAAATAAAAACGAGTTCGGATTTATAGGCTTAAAAGTTAAAAATACCATCAGTAATTCATCATGCTTAATGTTTAGATGCTCATTCAGTATAGCACATCATCATTTCTTTCCTCATGTCACTTCATAATAGATTTATATAGCTGCTAAATACCATTTATTCAGTCATTGATTTTTACAGCAAAGTGCAATATTTTATATAATAATACAGCCAACTTGGTTGTAGATTTAATTTATACAATGACCGACCAGCTTGGCTATCCACCTCTGTAGTTCATCTAATATTATGGCCAGCTTGGCTGTCCACTTTTCTGTACTTCATCTAATATCAATGTACTTCATCAATGTCCACTTCTATATTTCATCTAATATTATAGCCAGCTTGGCTGTCAACCTCCATATTTCATCTAATCTTACAGTCCACCTCCATATTTCATCTAATATTACAGCCAGCTTTGGCTGTCCACCTCTATATTTCATCTAACGCTACAGCCAGCTTGGTTATCCACCTTAATACTTTTTCTTATATAACAGTCAAGCTTGGCTTCTATTTTTCATCTAACATGACAGCCAGCTTCTATAAACAAAAAAGAACAGAAAAAAATTGCAACTGGCCTAACTGTGCATATCTCAAAATAAGAATAACAACATAATCAGCTTTAAACTTGTTATCAAATATTACAGTCAGAGATCTTTGCTCTAAAGTCTTAATCACACATCCCACGAGTGTTTTTGTTACCCAGTTTGAAGTGATGCACTTTCACACAGCAGGCTTTGACATTTGTTCCATTTTAGTATTCTTTCTATTGCTTTAAAGCAAAATCAAAGGGAAATCTTAATTTAGAATTGGAAAATTACTGATTAAGTATTATAGATATCTTATATCAAGGGTTTGTGGTGTTCCTTACTTTTTAAAGCTGGCAGATCAGTGAAGCACTACATAATTTTAGGTGTTAAGATATTCAGAGACTTTGAAAAAAAGTAAACATCTTTGAATGATATATAATAAGTTTATCACATTTATCCAAATTTAGAGAAATGGCAAGTTTAAGTGAGAACAGTGGGCATACTTTACAACAAAAAACAGTTAGAAAAAAGGAAAGTTTGTTTTTGTGAGAGGGGGAAACTCATGAAAGAGAGATGGGTGTGTGTTTTTTTGTAAACATTATGAAACAAAATAAAGTAAAGGGAGTGTTATAGTTTGTTAAGGTTACAAGGGTAAGGGACAAATGTTGATATGTTATACTGAGAGCATTTTGCATGCCAGGATACTAAACAGTTTCACTTCTCTCAGTACAGTGCATACCCCATGTATGTTACTGTCCTGATATGTATGTTACAGTGTAGATCATATAGAAGTGAGACTGTTGTTATTGTTGTCATAGTAACAAGACATGTTAATATAAGGTGTATCTAGATGTAACAGTGTAAAAATTGCATTTGGCAGGGGTGTGGTAAACTTACATGCTAACCATCACTATTCCTCATTCCCCGCCTTGAATGCTGTCATACAAGCTGAATATTCCCATCACCAGAGGCAGGCACGATCCTCAAGCAGCTCTAGTGAACCCATGCTCTCACCTATGACACCATTGACTCCAGTATCACCGCTAGAATTGCCGCCTAGAGAAGTGTTCCAGCTGAATGCTGCCCTTCCTAGTGCAAAGAAGGAAGTTCATTATCAGAGAGAATACAAAGAGACAAAAACATCCCACCACCGCCACCACAGGGAGCCACCGGAATTAACGCAACAAGTTTCTAGAGACTCTCAGGATTCTAGTCATTACAACAGTTCAAGGGAGACCACTCCTAGAGATGTTGAGGAAAGATGGGAACTAAGGGAGATAATTAGGAAGAACAAGGACAATGGGGAGTTGAGGGAAAGTTATGAGAAAGAGGAACTTGAGTACATTGTACATGAGAGAGAATCATCGGTGTCATCATCACACAGTCAGACTAGTCAACGCAGCTCTAATACACTGCCTCATCAGAAAAAATCATCATCAGCATCATCAGATCATAGGTACTTTATTGGGATCTTTTTTAAAATATTTTTTTCAAGGGCTATAGATAATGGTAATCTGTTTTTCCTAAAATACTGCTTATTGGTCTGTTTTATTGAGAGGCTTTTATGATTCATATTTTCTAGACAATAGGTAAACTGTTTCCTTTTTATTGGGTATTTAATGTAATGGATATTTAAGATATACATTTTTATTTGTCAATTTATAGAAGTGCTGTAAATTCTATTACTCATAGGATAATTGTATAATTGTATATTATTTAGGCATTAAAAAATCTTTATTCATTGGAGGTATTTTTTTTTATCTTGAAATCATTGAATTATTTTATTTAAGGCAAAGTTCTCAACCCCGTTAATTTCATTTTGCACTGCAACATTCTATTTTACTTATAAACTAATAGAGAATGTATCTTTGGTTTAGCATGAAAAATATCCTGTCTTTTATTACAATTTTATTTATTTCTTGCATGTAAATTCAGTTACTTTATATTAACATTATTAACTCTAGTTTAAGATGTTAAATACAAGTAGATATTTTGCATGAATTCATTCTAAAAGATTAACAGACCAAAAGAAAGTTTAAGTACCTATGTCAGGTGAAAAAGGTTCTAGTGGGCCAAATTTATGTGCCATTAATTGGTTCTAAAAGTTTAAGTTGGCCAAAATTATGCGCCATGAAATAAGTGGTTACTCACCAGTCATTCTTATAGTCATTTATAATCCATATAATGTATATCATCATTTGCTACAAGCATAGTCATGTATATATTTATTTATGTTTCTGTGACTATCATATTGCTGGGCTATGAAACTATATTATATTCATTTCCCATGTTATACCAAGGGCAAAATACAATACATATTATTAGTTAAACCATCATAAAGTGCATTATTGTCCGATATCATGCAGATATGTTTCTTAAAGTTTAAATGATACAACAATGATCAAATTATAGCTCTTAGTTTTGAATTATATGTAAAAGATTATAACCTCATAGAAAATCATGAAAACTACAGTGGCTGATTTAACCTGTAAAATAAACTTATTATATACTTTATATAACTATGAGGAATCATTCAGTGATATGTACCCATTCATTTAGTTGTTTCACTTTATAGTTAATCTAGATCCACTTATTCAGTTTTTCTTCACCAGTTTGGTTTGATTTCTAATGTATCCAGCACCCTATTATAATCTACACACCTCTATATTCTTAACATGTAGTCAGGCACTCTTCTTAAGATTTCATTTTCCTAATTAATTTATCACTGTTTTATTTGACATACAAGTTTGTGAAATAGCATTTGAATGTAACACTTTCTTCAGTGTTTTTTTCTCTCTAAATATTTATCAGAAATAATCTGTTAATTGTTTAAAATTTGGACTGGTTGACTATGAATGATAAGATTGACATGTAAATAATTTTTGTTATTTTATTATTTTTTTTCAAGATGAGAATGATTCTTTGTAAAGTATTCTTCTAAATGAGGTAAAAATATTCAATACAAAATGAGTTTTACAGATTTTTAAAGCGTCATTAAAAAATAAAAATTATATTATAATTTTGTATCATGATTAAAAAGGTAACGTTGTTTTGTTGTTGTATGTTTAGAGGGGAGATGAAATCACCACCTAGTAGAACGTTTTACCTCACCGACTCTCCCTGGTCATCATCGAGTCTGCCTCGAGGCTCGACCAACATGACCCAGTCCAGTAGTTACCATGGTTACCAAGATTCTACAGTATCGTCTGGGCGAGGTTCCCTGTTCGAAGGTCGGGAAACCGTAGATCAGTATGGTTCAAATGCTAGAGGTCTGGATGACAGTAGTTACGGTACATTGGAGGACCGACATAAACGAAGTGGCTCTCGGGATAGCCTGGATCAAACGTCTCTTGGTGAGTTGCTTTACACTTCATTTTAAATCATAATCAGTGTTGAATCCCTTACCTTATTTACAGTTCTTTAATAGCAACATGTAAGTGTGGTCAAAGAAGAAGGTTTAAATAAAATTGACAGTTCATCAAATTTCTTATTATTCTCTAAATGGAAATATTAGAGTTATTTTCTAAATAGCTCGTTCAGCTCTTTTCTCTTTACCAAAACCTTGTATGTAGAAAAACTTATATATTATATATTACATTTCTTAAATGTATACATTTCCTATGTCCAAGTTGTACTGACTGAATTGTTATGCATTTTAGTAAATATAATTGTTAGGTCTTTATAAAGTGAAAAAACGACATGTAAAAATGCACAGACTGAATATTGTCTTCATGTTAATATACATTCTAAACAATTTAAAAATTGTCTATTGCAAATCAACAATAGAAAATTGAAACAGCAGGACTTATAATTAGGCTTGTTTATGATAAATCTATCTTTAAACAATTGTCTTTTTTTTCGCAACAATATATCAAAGTAGATTAATGTACAAGATACCTGTATAGTATGAATAGAAATTTTGGCTTTAAAGATATTACTGTAAAATGTTTATTTTATCTGTAAAATTATTTTCATTACCTTAAAGGAATCAAAGTCATCCATGTATTGAAAATGCTTTCATATGACCCTGATTACTTACCAAAGTCAGTCATGCATCAAAAATGCTTTTATTTGACCAAGATTACTTGAAGAATTAATTAAGATCTTAATATTTTATTTTGATAATGGAAAAAGATATAGTAAAGTTATTATTGAAAATACAGACATTGTAAAATATTACCTAATCTATATACTACAGTAAATTATGAAAGTTTGCCAATTTTTGTTTTGTAAAGAAACCTTGAAAAGACATGCTGTATTAAGAATTTAACACACTTAACTCTATTGACTTGGCAAACAAACATTTTTTTTCAAATCTGAAGGACTGTCATTCAATGATGTAGGGATATAATTGATCTAAACAAGGTAGTGTCATATTTAAACATTTTTAATCAGGTTTCTTTTTCCAGTTTTAGTTAACAAGACAAAATGTCTTTTGAGCGTCTGTCATTTTATGGAAATAGTATTGTGTAACCTCGGATATCTTAACTTCCAATGAAAAACGTTATGGTTGTGTATGTTATATTCTTTATAAATCTAGATTAATTTCCTATCCCGGTAGTTTTCATTCACATTTAGATTCTTTAGTATCAGGTTTTCTATTGAAGTAAGCTTATCCAGTTTCAGTCTGCTGTAATTTAAATTCAGTTTTCTATCCTAGTTGACTTGTATGCCCTATTAACATGCTAACTAGGTCATTCATTCATTTATATGTTCATTCATTCATTCATTCATGTTTCTATTTTGTGATTGACTTTGCATCTTTTTTTTTTAAGTTGCTTTGACATTTTTGTCCAATTAATACATTCTTCCAACCCTATGCAATTGTGAAAAAAGTGAAAGAATATAAGAAATATGGTATTTCGTTTATAATCAGCATGCTAAATGTGTAGGAGTTATTTCAAAAAAAAAAAGGAGGTTCAAGATTTAACTTAAATATTAACACTGTGTATCAAAGGAAAATTGTGCAAGGGCAATAATTTGTTTAATATTTTATTTTAATTATTCCCCTCTTTCATGTGTTACAATTGAATGAATGAAGGAGATAAAATAAATTGACTAGGTAAAATACAAATACTGAGTGAGGAGACTATCTTAATATGGCCAATAAATTCTGATATGGGATAACATACTTTCTAGTTATTCAAGTGGAAAATATAAATATCATCATCTCAAATTCTTGACTTAGTTGCCTGCAGGAATTATAGTGGTGTATAATGTTTTAAACTGGACTTATTTGGTGGTTTATGTTTTACTAGTATTTATATCATAAGTAGTAAGTAGATAAAAAAGTAAATATTGTTTGTCTGGACTGGTGTAGTTTTGTATTTCATACATTGGATATTACTACATTGAAAAGGCAAAAGTAAAAAAAGAGAACATATTTTTATTTGTAATCATAGTGCTGGTAAATTTCATTTGATTATCTATAAAATTCTTTTCTTTGTAATGCTTTGGCTTATTTATATAATGAGAGACATACAAATTAAAATGAAGATATCTTTAAATTTTCTGTTAAATTAATTTTCCTAATAATAGAATAGAATGATATCCTGATTACAGTTGATGTTTTATTCATGTGAAAGTTTTGATTTGGTATAAGGAGGTGATATTTTCATTAATGCCTATTTCTTATTTACGAAACATTATTCATACTATTTGATGTGTGAATTTCCAATGTGAAAGGAAATGCAAATTTGGAAACTAATCTGGTTTCAATAGGATTTTTAATGCAGGATCATGTTTCTCAGTATTATGTAATGGTGGTAATATAAATTTGAAGATTTGTTGCAACAGAGTTGTTACTTGTTCTCTAACTTGATCAAGTTAAGACGGTTTTGTGTTCAACCATTGAATTACAGACATATACAGTTATATATAGGGATATATAGGGATTTATAAAAACGTTTTGGATTTTGTTTATTGGACAGTGTATACATGTAATGACAGATATAAGTTATAAAATAGTCGTAATCTGTCAAAGGTGTCAGCTAACATTAACCTAAGGTGGCCAAGTTGTGCTACATTATATAGGCTTACATCTGAATTATTTATTTACTAATGGATTTTTATAGATTATGGTAGGGAAGTTTGTTGGATATTTTCATGTTTTAGTTCTCATAATTTCAGTTTTCTCCTCGTTTTTGGAAGCTGCAATAACACCATAGGGAGGTTTTATCTGTGAATTATTTATGTGTTAGATCATTCTATTTTCAATTAATGTCATACACTAAAACACATGAGATCCCAAAATCCCTCCACCAGCTATGTTAATGGTTTTATCACACATTCTCTTACAATTAAAACTATGAAAAAAGTGAAGAGGCTGACAAAAAATTTCAACATTTAGCCTGGAGCTTAGTGTAACTTTGTTGAAATAGGTAAAGAAAGTTTTTTTGTTCAAGATAAACTTGTGTGAAAGTTCTTATCGGATAGATTAAAGGAGTTTATTCATCAGATTGTAAGGTGATAAAAGAAAGAATTTTCAGTTGTATCTGTTTTTATTTAGATATATGATGTAGACATGCTTTTATTTATCTGGTTATCTTGGAAAAATCGTAGCAGTGAAACTGTTTTTGATAGCAGTGATGAATAAAAGTGATGGGAAAATTGAAAAAATTGAGTAGAAGTAAACAAAATATAGGAATATGTAAAGGGGAACTGTAGGATACATAAACAAAATAAAGGATAAGTAAGACAGTATAGGATAAGTCAGACAAATACAAGATTTTGTTATTCCTCTTGTTTAAAAGGACATAGGTTTGTGAGATTTATGTATTAAGAACCATTGGTAAATTTCTGTACTTCTAATGCTTTATTATAGTTTTATGTTCTTTTATCAGAATTGTATTGTTCATGCTATCACAAGGGCATTTTTACAACACCTATTTGTAAATATTTGGAGGACTATTTCTTACTATATTTACTATTGTATATTACAGGTGGATCGAAAGATTGGAGTGACAGTAACCAGCCTCGTAGACCACCTCCACCAAAAGATGTAAGTATAATTTGGTTACCCTTCTTTTAATATGCTTTATATGGCAGTCATTATTTTGTTAATATTAATCACACTAAAGCTCTTAAATGGGCTAGTCCATCCTTTAATCAGGACAAAACCATTAATCATTTATAGGGAAAAAATACAAATACAAGTAGTGCAGAATTGCCAAATGATCTTGGTATACATTGGTCACATGGGCTAAGCAGGCTAAAGGTTATAGATGCACAAAGTAATAGCATAGATTGCTAATGCCAGTTTTATTACTTATTCCCTACCATTTTTCAGCTATGCCATTTGTCTTCCATGTTCAAAATGCATATGATAAAAAATGTGTTGAAATATATGTTAGTAAAGGCGAAGGATGTGTGATAATTTAATGTCAAGATATATAGCAACGGTCAGCATTTTTCTAAAATATGTTTAAATATGACTTGATTGTGCATACAAAACAAACAAATTAATTGCCACTTGTGAGCACTGTAAAATATCCATTAAAATGTTCTTATTGTATGTTTGCTGTTGTATGTAAAAACTTAAGTAGAAAATTAATTGGTATGAAAAAGATGGATGGCTGTGGTATGAACAAATTAAGAACTTAGATAAGAATGGATATACTTGTTTAAATAACTTGTGTTTGAATAAAAAAAGAGATTAATTAAGGTTTTTAGTTGTTTCATTAAACATATAATAAGAGAAATAATGTGTGAAGTAAGATTTGGATGACTGCTTTTATAGTTATATATCATTTGAGAATATACTTCTCATTGATAAAAACAAAACAAACAAAAACATGTCATTCTTGACAGGTAAAGTAAAACAACAAGTTTACACGTAATTTCAACCAAAAAAATGTGATTTGAATGTGAGAAATTGTCAGTTAAATGAAGCGAGGCTGTCTGCGTCTAGTAAATAACATGGGAATATTTATATGTATATGCCTCAATAACTTCATTGACTCGACTGCAGCTTTAATGTCGTTCACATATTTTATCTAATTTTGCATCATTAAACCGAAGTAAAATGAATAGTATGCTTAGAAAATGGTATTGGACATTATGTGCAACAAACAAATGGATAAAATAACTTGTGTGCATCTATATTATGGTTTATTCAACCATACCTTAATATACCACAAGCTTTAAAACTGAAATTGTGTTGATATTTTGTTAATATACATTGACTTTAAAACAAATATACATTTACTTTTAAACAGAGTGCCCATTGGACTGAGAGCAGCACCGGACTTTCCCAGACAACATACCTCACTAGTAGCACCGAGAACCTCTACAGCAGCTCGAACCCTTTACCTACAGCTTCATCTTCATCAGCGGTTCTAACACGTAAACCACAGCCACCACCCATAGATTACTCCTCCGTCCAGCATGGCAACTATGCCCAGGAACTTCTTAAACAGTCACAGAACACTAAATATCTGTTGAGTCACGGGCACGATTCTAGTCGCAAAGAGGGTCTGACCTCAGCAAACTCAAGTTCAGTGAATCTAAGTGATACTTCATTTTCAAGTGGCGGGTCAGGACAAACTGCCTCCAATATGCCGCAGCCAGGGTCTTCAGGAGACTTGTATAATAGAGATAGAAGTAGAGGTAGGTATCTTTGTACCTTATTATGCCTGAGTATGCTTTGAATTAAGCTGGATCAGTCTTGTCTTGAAACATTTTGGCCTAACTTTTGTATTCTTCCTTGCAAAATGTCTTTAAATCTCAGAAGTATAGATGTCTTAAGTTGAGTCATTTTATAATAATCAATTTAATAAATATTTTACAGAGGATTTATCTGGCCGACGAAGAGCAAATACCACCTCGTCTAAGACACACATGTCTGGTGTTGGAAGAAGGGCAGAATTGTGTATATCACCATTGAGTAGCGATCAAAGTAGTCCAAGGTCCTCTAACAAGTAAGTTTAATAGGAAATATGATAAACGGTTAACCCTTAACTGGCTAAATATCTTTAATGGACTTGTCCGCTTGCAGATTTTGAAATTGTCCAATTATGAATGGTAGGGATACCAAGAAATGAAAGTTTGGAGTTGGTTAGCCTACAGTATTGAGCCTTGACATACTGTATGAATTCCTGGCTAGCCAACTCTATATTGATGGCAATGGCTAAAATTTATTTTCCCGCAGGAAAAAGGGAAAAAAGTCCCGAAACCTTTTCTGTGATTGAAACAGTGCATATTTTTACTTTTTTTTTTTAATTTCAGGAAATGGGATTGTATTAAAAAAAATTTTTGAGTATATGTGCATATGGTTTAAGATTTTGGCAATAAAATTTTGCTTTTAGCTCTGAATGTCTTTGATTTAATGCTTTAAAACTTTTTAAAATTGCTTTTTACATGTTTTCCCCCTTCTCAATTTTGGGTTTTTCTCTTGAAAACCCTTTTTCAAAAAATGATAGAAAAACTTATATATTTAAATTTTCAAGGGAAATTTTTCTTGGGAAGTCATCTTTTAAGAAATCACTAAGGCCCCAAGATTTACGTCCAGGGCTTTTGTAAAAACAAGACTGAGTAAAGCAAAGGGAACAAACAATTTACAAGATGACTTGATGAGATTAATAGATCCAGACATTGCTGAAAGTGATCTTGCTGGAATACTGGTAAAACTTTATACAGATTACTGGCTGAGATTATGTTGTTAGGCTAAAAGGCAGTGGACCAAACTATATGAATTCTGAAAATAATATATCTTTGTGAATGTTTTGTCTAGTTAAATCTATTTAAAATATATTATTGTGTTATTTTGATGTTATTTAATTTAATGTAATCTGATGGCATTTAAGTAATTCTAGCAATTATTTAATAGACGTCATATCAAGAACCCTGTATGATATAAGTCCATGATACAACAGTTTAATGATTTTAACCTTGACCAGAAGACTACAGGTCCCCTTTATGTAGTATATGTAAAATTCGTAGATTTCGATTCTTTCAAGACTCCAGGGATGTTTGTTTGATTAAATGCTTATTAATTTAATTTGATGACTAAGATACTGTAAAGAGCTTGACTTTGATCTCACAAAAGCAGATAATAAGAAATACAATATTTCTGTTGCATATTTATAGACAAGTAGTACAATATTTATATAACATATTTATAGACAAGTAGATCATCAAGTAGAAGACTGTCAGGCCGCCTAGTTAGAACCATGTCTGATGAGAGCCTTCACAGTGGCAAGGGAAATCTTTTTGACCAGGATATCCGAGAGTCATTGTTTCCAGAGCGACGACAGGATTTACAAGGAAGCAGGGAACAACTTAGACAACACAGGTATGTTGCTAACTCTCTAAAATTGTCAATAAATGGTGAAATACATCGTATGAAAACTTAAAAGTGACATCATGCTTATTTTAATCTGGGCCCAAGTTGAGCAATATAAGCTACGCATTTCAAAAGATTGACTCTTATGGTGATGATAGACCAGTAGTTAATAATGACCGATGTTTAGGATGAAATACAAAAACTGCTGAAAATAAAGGAAAAGGCTACCCCATTCTCATTAATGAATTGATTGTGATCTATAAAGAAATTTCCTTGAATCACATTGGTTATTGATTATTCATGCAATGCTATTTATAAAATTGAAAGCAATTATGGCAAAATGTAAACATGTTTTAACATTTCCCTGTGCACATGCCTTTTATATTTTTATGTTGGGCATAATGTTTTTTTGTTTAAAAAGGGCATTGGTTGAAGTGTCCTATTTGTATATGAAGATATATGTGCATTACCTTTAACACGAAAGACAGTTTTTCTATGTAAGTCATGAAGAAATTGGTTTTTTGAATAAGAATGTAACAAAAATATTTTCTTCAATATTTTAGCATTCTCATATTTAAGATTTTACTTTGATATTGTTTTACCTTTTCTGTTATAGGTTATCTCCCCGTGCTTTGGGAGATGGACCATCTCGCGTTCCAGTGCCAGACTCTGCAGCTTCCCTGGATTGGAGTAGTCTTGTTGACGTGGCAACAAAAGCTATAGAAGGATCAGAGGACCCTAAAGATCGAATCTCTTCTCCGGTTAACTCCACAACATCCTCATCAAGTTCAGCCAATAAGTCAAGAGATATAAAAATAGACTCATTATACAGACAGAAAAATCATGACCGCCCACCGGATCCACCAACTGCAAGCAATCCTCCGGTGTGGCGCTCTGTTGTAGCAAATCCGCAGCAACGTATTCAAGAATTGGAGGCTAAAATCACACAGCTTGAGGAGGAGCTTGCCCAGGAGAGACAAGAAAGTGTA